TTGAGATCGGGAAACCTCGCGATAGCTTATCCTGGGCGGACCGATCGTAAAGATTCAATCGTCGGCATGACCTCCGCGTTGGAAAACTACATCAACCGTATCCTTCTGTTGTGACGAACGCTTACAAAACGGGTGAAAAATACGCGAGTGCTGAAGGGGCAAAAGCGGGAATGGGGTGGGAAAGTAAAGCGCTTTGAGGGACTCCCGTCTAATTTCGCATTTCAGTCTTCGCCCATTGTTCCCCCCCCCCCGCGCCCGAGGGGAGGTTCGGCAACCTGCAATTGGCTGCAAGCTCTGCCATTCTTCTCTCTTTTTTTTCTTCAGAATCGGCTCCGCTTGGATTGGTTCGATTTCGCGCGAGGGGGCGGGCTTTGCTGTAGAACGAAAGCGGTCCTAAAACTTGGCCAGTTTAAGACTTGTGGACTTCAACTCCCAGAATTCCTGAGCTAACATGACTGGAGGAGGAATTCTGGGAGTTGAAGTCCACAAGTCTTAAAGCTCTGTCAAGTTTAAAGACTTCTGAATTTTATCATCTGTCTGTCTGTCTATTGTCTCCCCACCCATATCCATCCATCCATCCGTCTGTCTGTCTGTCTGTCTAGCTATCTGTCTGTCTATCCATCCATCCATCCATCCACCCACCCATCTCTATCTATCTGTCCATCCACCCGTCATCTATCACAAGGGTCTTCCCACTTGGCCAGTTTAAGACTTGTGGACTTCAACTCCCAGAATTCCTGAGCTAACATGACTGGGAGGAGGAATTCTGGGAGTTGAAGTCCACAAGTCTTAAAGCTGTCAATAGGCATGCATATATATATATACACACAGGCAGATGGATGGAGGGATAAAATTTCTGTGGGAGGAAAAGGGCATAATTGCCAAAGCAATTGGTTTTGAATAGGGAGAGATCTAGTTTCTTAAAAGGCTCTATATGTAGCATTAGCAAGCGTCAGCTTATCCTTTTCATTTGGCACGGAACCAGGAGCATACCCACAATTGTATGTTCACAAAGACACACCGTCTTAAGGTCATTCCTTGACATGAATTTTAGGTACGGTTGCTGTGATTACTTCAGATGGCCGAATGATTGTGGTGAGGTTTTCTTTTAAACTCATTTATTTTCTAAAACGTTTTGACTTGCGTTGTGCTATTTTTTTGCCTGCCGCTAGCGTTAAAATGGGACACGGTGGCTCAAGGGGCTAAGACGCTGAGCTTGTCGATCAGAAAGGTTGGCAGTTTGGCGGTTCAAATCCCTAGCGCTGCATTCATGGAAGGGGCTCCCGTTACTTGTCCCAGCTTCTGCCAAACTAGCGGCTTGAAAGCATGTAAAAATGCAAAGTAGAAAAATAGGGGACCACTTTGGTGGGAAGGTAACAGCATTCCACGTGCCTTCGGCGTTTAGTCATGCCGGCCACATGACCACGGAGACGTCTTCGGACAGCGCTGGCTCTTTGGCTTTGTAACAGAGATGACCGCCGCCGCCTAGAGCTGGAAAGACTAGCACATACGTGCGAGGGGAACTTTGACCTTTTAGTGTTAAAATCTCATTCAAGAATTTTTTGCCCATTGTGAAAATAATCGGTGTGACGTCCTTGTGATTACAGCATGGATATCTAGATTTGCAGAGTTAATGTCAACCATTAATTAACCATAACCAATTTATTGGTAGAAAAAAAGTGTGCAGTGAAATAAGTGGATATAATTGGCCATGGTGGCCTAGTGGTTAAGACACTGGGTTTGTCAACCAGAATGTTGGCAGCTTGAGACCCAAGTATTGGGTTGATGCTATGAGCTCCTGTTCTTGCTCCAACTCCTGCCAGTCTAGCAGTTTGAAAGCATGTAAATACGGGTAGGTAAATACCGGTAGGTACCCGCTTCAGAAGGAAGGTAACAGTATTCACTGTATAGTCATGTTGGCCACATGATCATGGAAATGTCTTCAGACAATGCTGGCTCGGAAATATGAGCACTTCCCTCTAGAATCACACTTGACTGGAAAGGAGAAATCTTTACTTTTTTAATTGATTGATGTCGAAAAACTCACTGGTGAGGAAAAAACAGTCGAGGCCTGGTTTGATGTCAATATATAATTTATTGTTATCCATCTCATTTAAATATGAATTGCTGTTAAAGATTTTTAAGATTAAAAATAAATAATTTTAACAAAGATGCTTTAACAAATGAAAATTTGATAGACTGCATTTATGTATTTATTTTAGGGCACTCTCAAGGGCTTTGATCAGACAATCAATTTGATTTTGGATGAGAGCCATGAAAGAGTATTCAGTTCTTCGCAAGGAGTGGAACAAGTAGTATTAGGACTATACATTGTGAGAGGAGATAATGTGTAAGTTTTCTCATTTTGAAGATAATGTAATTTCAGTTGCTGTTAAGGTATGATGAAATCACCTGTTATTTGAGAGCCTATCTGGAAAGAAGGTTACTGGTATCCCTCTAAGCTGTGGTTTCTCAAAGTTTTTCCCCCATCACACCTTCCTTTAGGTACACACCTCCCTTAAAAATCCAAATCAAATGAATAATTAAAATAATATGGTACGATGAAAGTTTGGGAAAGTTGGATGTATTATAGCAATGTAATTGAAAGGCCTTCATGCCTCCCCTGGATTCTGCCTACACCTCCCCCGGAGGACCTCAGTTTGGAAAGCCTACTTTTTAAAAGTTTTTCATTCTACTCACTGATGAAAATTCACTTTCCTTTGCCCCTTCCAACTACTTGCATACTAACATTTATATATTCTTCCTTTATAATCCAATCCTTATGCTTTCTTTATTCGTCTGTTCATTAATATCATCTCTTGTCTAACATTCATAACCAGACTTTATTTCTTAAACAGCCAAGTCATGCCAAAGTCTGATATTCCCTCTGAACCTTCTGTATGTTTTCTTGAACATACTTTTGTATACATGTATATGACTGCAATGTAAGGGAAAAATAATTGCTTATTTTCTTTTTTTAAAGTCATTTTTGCACAAAATACTTTTCTGTATTGTTCGTGTAAGTTATTGTTTCCAAGGTTTTTTTTTTTAATGGGGTAACTATTTCAGTACAGTCCACAGGGGCTAGATATTATACCCTTCTTTTGTAGAATTCCATTACTCCTTTTCAGTTCACTGAAAAGTATGAAAAGAATATTAAGAATATTAAGTAGAAATAACTATTTTTGTAGTAGAATGGTATTCAGGATCTGTTGGTATTTAATTTAAAATATCTCTGTAACTAGAGCAATCCAAATTTCTTTTTCAGAGCTGTAATTGGAGAAATAGATGAAGAAACAGATTCCGCCCTTGACTTGGGAAATATTCGAGCAGAACCTCTGAACTCAGTTGTACATTGAAAGACAGAAGAATAAGGACTGCTTTACAGAATTATTTATACAATGGCAAGACTCCGTTTTAAAATTCACATAATTTGGATCATTTATACCTATTTTTTACTGTTAACGCTTTATGTAAATTAAAGTATACATTTTACTGCTGACTCCAACATAGCAATGGGAAAAACAACTTTAAAAATTGTTATCTAGAAGTGTTATAGCTTAGAACATAAGGAAATGAAAATTCTAAACTACTGACACAAAAGAAATATTTTGCTGGGAAAAACATTCAGAAAAAGTAAATGATTTTTAAATTTTATTAAATAAATCACATTAAGTACAATCGTACTTAATAAAAATATTTTTAATTTCTTAAAATAATGACTGGGTGGTTTGTGCCCTTTTAATTTACTAAGCCAGTTTAAATAATGGAATGTATTCATGTGAGTGGGGATGATTTGCAACATGAATGAAACTTCCCTTTCCATCCCCACCTTAGTTCAGTATGCAAGATCCTCTAAATCTTCTAGCTGTGATTAGGAGACAGAACTCCACTACCAGCTATTGTTCTTCTAATGAATGGGGCCTCTAAAAGTTGTGATACATCTTGGGGCTTTTGTGTGTGTGTGTGTGCTAACATTCAAAATTAATAGAATTTTCAGAAATTGTAAACTTAGGACACACTATATCACTTGAGCATATTCTATCTCGGGTATAAAACTGGATTTCTCGAAGGGTCAGACCAGCATTGTAGTTCTCCGCTGGTGGGCTGGGGAGATGGGATACCTCCAGCACCCTGCTGGCCAAAACGGGGTGCAAGGTGCTGCATGAGGGCCCCCCCATACCCCATTTTCAGCCTGGACAGCCTCCTGCAACACTCTGCCAGCTAAAACTGGCACAGGGGGCCCTCATGCTTGCTGCGGGCCGGTCCTTTGCTATTTCCAGGCTAGCCCCCATGAGCCAGGTTTAAGCACCCCACGGGACAGATTTGTCCCATGGGCCTTTAGTTGGACACCCCCTGTTCTATCTCAATGGCAATGGATACCTTACAGCACCACCCTTGAAAAACTATAAAACAATAGCCTGAACCAGTTCGAGATATAGAAAATGCCTGAGGTTTTGCTTTAATCAAATCATCGGTGCGTTTTGGGGACTACAAAAATACAGATCAGAAGTCTCTTGGCAGTACTGCTGGAATGGCTTATCAGTATGGGATGCCTAATGCTGAACCTATGTAAAAATGATTAATAGAAAAAGTAGAAATGCCACGTATAATGAATGCATTTGAGGGCATAAAGCAAATGTTATCAGAAAACAGTAACTTACCTGACAATGTGCAAATTAATTAAAAGTACAAGAGCAAATCTAGGAAGGACTTTTAAAATATAATTTACATATAACTACAAACTTAACAAAGGCAGTTTTACAAGTAGGGCTAGTGTGAATTTACTAAAGGAAGATATGGGGAACCCCAAGAGTGTGAAGTATTTTCTCTGCATACAAGTACACGGTGCCAGATATGCATCCTATTGAAAAGTTAAGTAATCAAGCCGTAGCTACAAGTTTGCAGACTTTATTCAAATCATATAGTTTTTCTTTAAAACATCTAGATACTGCTGTCTTGCCTTGGAAACTTGATCCTGGTCTATGTTTGATGTTTTCGAAGATCCATCAACTGATCCTACAGGGGAGATTCTAACTGATCCAGCATCAAGTTCAGCTTTAGCTGAAAAACAAGAGTTATTTTTGACAGGTTTCATATCATCTGATGAAGTGACAGTGGAATCAGAACGCCAATTTTGTTGGATATCATGAGCGTTATTTTTAAATGTGCTTATTTTGCTATGGAAGAAAAAAAACTTTCTAGCCACAGTGTATACCTTTGCAAACATACACATTTTACAAATAAGGATAACAACTTCACCCTATATTACCAATGTCTTCTATGCAGAATAAATCATACTGTAATAGTCAAAGGGAATGTTTGAGGTTATATATAGCAGAAATTAGACAACAGCACCAGTGCTACTGAGTGATTTGCTACATTTCTATACAGGGAGCTATATGTACAGTGTGTAAGATGCGTAAGCACACACACACTAAACACAGCTCCACACTTATAGCACTGATCTTACATAGTTGAGTAATGAAATACCTACAAGCAAACACACAAGATCAGAGAACAATGGAGAATTCTCTGTGGTCCAAAAATTGGCATGGTTATTTGATGGAAGCACTAAAATTTGTATGTCTTGTAGGAATTTTAAAGTATCATTTTCACATTTTTAGTTTAATTTTATATGTTATTTTTTTTCATGTGGATAATCCAAAATGAATCATGCATATATGTAGAAAAACTTCAATGTGCTATAAAGTACATGAATAATAGTTCGCTTTGAATTTCATCTCAAAATTGAATTTATATAACTTGCTTTATTAAAGCAATTTATCCATTATAAATTAGCATGCTATCATGTTTAAAATCAATGGAATAAGTTACACTTCAACTTAAATTTTATTAATCTCAGCAGAGCTAAATTTACCTTTTATCTATTGAATACATAGCTAGTTCTGAGTGTTTCAGGTTCTAAAACAATTGCTTATATTTCTATAAACTAATAGTGTATCTAAAATATTAGATTATTTCCTCCCTTATTTACATTACTTTGTATATTATACATTAGAACTATATTTCTATGATGTGGATTAGTTTATTGCTCAACAGGTAACAATGGGTTTTATATCTTTATGTTCTAAAAATAAGTTGCTGAAATGTAAATGATGAGGTGCAGTGTCTCAAAATTTCACTATTAATCTCATTTTCTTGGCGGCCAGGGGTGGGGTGGGGTGAGGGACAAAGCAAACAGCAGAATAAGTTTCAAACTGTCAACATGTAATTTTCTATTTACCTTGGTCCAGTTCTTTTGTGATACTTTTTTCTAATTCCATCTGCATCTGAAATTATATTTAGATTATGGTTGAAATAATATTAAATGTAAAATGAAAATACATCAACACAGTATCGCTTAAGATATTTTAACAAATTTCACATAGGTTAATTTCTTAGTTTTTTAAAAAAATATATCCCAGCTTTCAACTAGCATTGATCAAAACTTTACATCATGGATTAGCATTGATGGATCAGCACTTGCTGATAATATAATATCCAGTCAAGGGTAGACTTCACAGGTAGCTTAAAATGCAAAATAAAAATGTTTTGACTAAAGAACAAATCTGTCTGTGTGTATGTGTGTATATACATATGTGTACACATAATCAGATAACTAAGAAGTGCAAACACAATTTTGACAAATATGTAAACTACATACTTTTTACAAGGTGCAGCTTCAGCATTGGTTATGATTGCAATTTATATGCACAATCTGCACTTACAAATACACATGTATTTTACTTCTTTGTATGCTTTGTTATTTAGTGTTACATATTACATTGCATTAGGGGAAAAAACAACAATCTACATAGTCTTTCTTAGCTTCTGGCAGCACTTTTTCATGCACAGATAACTTCATGTGATTTGTCAGGATGAGGGAAATCTGGTTTCAGGATAATTTCAATCAGTTTAGAAACATTGTCAAATGTCCTGTAGAGAATAACAGAAGAACCAGTGGAACCAGAACTTCCCATGGAGGTAAAAAGAAAAGAGTATATACCTCACTAGGGGTTTGGAGTTGACTTTATTTTCACAATGTGGATCTGTTATTTTTCCATTAGCTCACATAACAACACACAGATTTTGTGTCTGGTTGCACATTTAGGTATTTAAACATCATCTGAATAGCAGCTCATCTTTCTGGCCTAGGTGGGGACTTAACAACTTTTAGCACCAGATCTTCAAAGGAATATCTTGTTTCTAAAGGAGTCAATGTGGAATCCACTACAATATCTTCCTACTGTTGGCTGAAAACTAGGGAAGTTTTTCAGATACCTAAGAATATAAACAGTGCCCTGTTGATTGATCCATCTAATCCCACAAACTCTTCTCATAGTGGTGAACCAACTGCACAAGGAAGTGCAGTAGTGACTAGTCTGCCTGCCGATGGCCTTCGAAGACAATACTGCCATCAAGACTCTTAGCCATTGGTCTCGACTTCCATGAATTGGTCCAATCCTTTATTGACCCTGCTAGTAGGCAGCACCACGTCTCATAGTAGCAGCACCACGTTACCAGTGAATAAGACCAATAATGGGTTGAAGGAAGGTAAATTGCAGCCTAAGCTAGACAAGAGAAGGTAGGAATTTAATACATTGGATGCTGTTACTTTCTTTGAAAACTTATAACTTGGGTCCAAGATTACCCACAGAATCTTAAAAACTAAGAATGCACTTGCACAGTTAAAATTACCATGCCAGACCTATCATTCTGAAGATGCCTGATCTAGTCACAATGAAACATGCCATAGTTATGTCCTATATGGTTTTATTATGATAAGCACTATCTAATAACTAAGAATACTGGCTGTTGTGGCTCCGGGCTTGGATTCAGCTCCTGTGAATGATATGAGTTCAAGTGAGGAGGTCATGGCAGAAAATTATGAGCCGGCATGGATCAGTGATTGGACTGATAACCAGGATGAGGAGATGGACGTGACAAAGGACGACAGACCTGATGTATTAGAATTGTCAGGACCTTTGACCTCCTCTGGTTCCTTATCTGATCAACAGTCGGGAATGGCTGACAGGGAAGTTTTGAGAGAGTCTTCTAGTGGAGATGAGAACTTGGAAAATTTGTGGTTAAATGTAAAAAATAGAAGACGGTTGAGAAGGCAAAATCAGCTGGAGCGAATGAGGAGAGCAAGTCAGTAAATTAGCACGTTGCCTCAATGAGTATAAAAGGACACAGCTGGGCTGGTACATTTCGCCAGGAACAAAGTGACTATTCGAGTGAGGACGTTACAGCAAGGAGCTCTGAGACTGGAGATTTATTGCCAGGACTGGTTTGCTGGACAGAGTAAAGATTTATGCTGTGAGGTTTCTGTCAGCCGTTATCTTGTAAGACTTCTTTCCGTTTGATTTAATTGTGAAACGGCTGCTTTCTGTTTTGTTCGTTTGAATTTTGAAGGGGAGTCATAACAACTGGCTATGGCTTAATAAAAGGCTGTTCAGACAAAGCTAAAACGACATTCTCCTGCATTTGAATTTACCCAAATATTAAAAACATTTCTGTCTTGGCATCATGACAAATGTATTTGGTTAATGGGAAATTCTGGAATACCAATGTATCTTGCCCTTTGTTTTATTTCTCCCAATATTTTATTAGGCAAATATTCTGTATTTAGAGAGCCAGTTTGGTGTACTGCTTAAGACATCAGGCTGGAACCTGAGAGACTTTGAGTTCTAGTCCCAACTGAGACACAAAGCCTGTTCAGTCACTACAGGTTCTCTCTCTGCCTTAAGTAATGGTAAACCACACCTGAAATCTTGCCCCAAAGCCTTCAGAGACCAGTCCAAGCAGTTTCCAGGAGTCAACACTGATTCAAAAGCACAATTTTATCTATTTATCAATATGGATATTCTATATTTAAGCTGCTTTGTCTACTATGATGGGATTTAATTAGGCACTAGATTTTATTATTTTTATTTTACTCTTAATAGTAGTTAATCACAATGATAGACAATATATAACTCCGATATATACTTTTCCTGGCTTTTCTCCAATTTATAATTTTGTTTGTTTTTAGTTATTTGTATCCCACCTTTATTATTTTTACAACTTCAGGTGGCAAACATCCAGCACACCTTCTCAGAAAAACTGTCCAGTATGAGAAAGAAACCAAAATTCAGCATCAACTTAATGCTACCAACAATTCTGCTTCAGTTCTTAATAAAATTAGATGCTCACTCTTGTCTATTCAGTCATTATGCTTGCCTTCTGAAATATATCTATACTACAAAGGAATGTTGCAAATAATAATAATTTATTACATTTATATGCCGCCCAACTCCAAGAAATTCTGAAGTATTTAGAAAGCCAAATAAAAATCTTTATGGCTCTTTATAGTTGTTTCTATGAGAACAGGGAAGACAGAATATAGCAGAGGAAATGTAGCAGACATGCTGATAGCACTGTTACATCTCTTTTTAAATCCTTCCTAAAATTCTGATTTTGAGTCAATGCTTTCTGCCAATTTTTAAAAAATGATTATTTAGAGTGAAAATAAATTTAGAAAGTTGTAGATCTGGGAAAATTGCTATCTGTACTTCAAGGGAGATAAAAGAGTATAACTACTTTCCCTGTAGATGAAGGGTGTCAAACTTGTGTCATCACATTGTCATCACGTGACATATCACAACTTTTTCCCCATTTGCTAAAACGGGAGTGAACACGTCCAACACATAATGCATTCAGCCCACAGGCCATGGGTTTGATACCCATGCTGTAGATATTCATGATTAAAATTAATATCCTCTCAGCTGCTGAGTCATGAGACAAAGTCAAAAGTCATTTAATTGGTCTGAAATTCTTGCGTACGTGTGGCATAGAAAACTGAACTGGGCAAACAGTTGAAAGTCTAAGAAGGCTGAAGACGTCTGTGATATTTTTATAACAGATGTTTCACTAAAATAACTTTAAGTTTTGATAAATTTGCATAGGAAACTAGCCATGAAAATTAATCAGAAGCATAATCCTATAGATCTCAATATTCCAGCCATATTCTCAAATCATACTGATTTGCAATTTAGATTACTGTGGAACTATGAACAAGGAAATTCCTAATTAGAGAGTTAAATATGAATCACATTGAATTACTAAAATGACTAATTTTCAATTACTCTGAATATAGTAAAACACATTATATATTACATAAATATGTTGTAATGGGTTATTATTATTTTATTCATATCTGTAATTTTCACTGTGTTATTTTCTTACAGTATAATGTGCAGTGTTTAACTAATCAGACACAGGACAATATAATTCAGCAAAAGAAATTACATGGTATTCAGCAATACTGACTACACACCTTGTTAAGTCTCTGGTTGCAGAGAAGAGAAGGGAGAATTAGATTTTTGGTCAAGGAGCTGAAGAAGTAAAGAGCAAGCCATAAGTTTATGGTTTTTGATGACAGAAATGAAAGTGACTAATCTACAAAGGAGTATCAGAAAAGAGAAACGTTATCTACTATTTGAAAAGAAACGGTAAACTACTTTGGAGGAGCCAATCATGCATACTTCATTAAATCCAAGATAATTCAATGTGACTTATTTCTAAATAAACATGTACCGTATATAATGTCTGCTCTATCTAGAAAGCTGACTTGACAAGACATTATTCATACTGGTCCTAATTAAAAGTAATAAGATATGTTAATCAAGATCATTGTTAACTTTTTCAAATTTCAATGAGATCAAAACATGGCTAACCTCTTCTAGATTCTAGTTAGAATTACTACCTAGAAATATGTAACAATAAACTTGATAACTCTAAATTCTTTGCATATTTTATTATCCTATAAATGGCAATAGTTCAGCAATAATTTGCTATGTTCATACAAGGTTAAAGAGTTAGGGAAAATTTTTTATGACCCTTTATATTCTGCAGAACTGTCATGAGAAGTAGACAGCAAAGTTCAATTTATGTTCCTAAATATCACTGTCAAATTTATTGTCCCCTGAGGTTAGTGTTACAATGACTTTTTACAACCTACCAAAAACATAACTGCAAAAGACAGACTAGAAGTAAAAGTTAAAATAAGCAAAAAAAAAAAAAAAGGTAAGAGAACCCCTGTCTGATCTTGATGAATACAAATCACTAGGATCTGACGATTACATCCTGGAGTTCTAAAGGAGCTGGCGGATATCATCTCAGAACCACTGTACCGCATCTTAAAAAATGGGGGGTGGGTGGAGAACCAGACCCAGGAAACTTACAGACCAATCAGCCTTAACATCAATACCTGGGTAGGTACTGGAAAAGATAATAAAAATCCAGATCTGCCAACATCTAGAAACGAGTAATCACTGGAAGTCACCATGGGTTTGTTAAAAACAGATCATGCCAAACCAATCTTATTTCATTCTTCAACATAGTGGCTAAATTAGTAGATCAGAGAAATACTGTGGACATAATGGCTGTGGACATATAAGCCATAAAATACTGTGGACTTCAGCAATACATTCAACAAAGTAGATCACAACCTACTTCTTGGTAAACTAGAAAAAAGTGGAATAGATAGTATTACCACCAAATAGATTCACAACTAGCTGATAAACTGTACTCAATGAGTAGTCCTTAATGGGTCTAATTCAACATGGAGGAAAGTAATCAGTGGGGTACCATAAGGTTCCCTGGGTGAAACCAGGCTTAATAGCAGTAACTGTGAGAGGGATCTTGGAGTCTTAGTGGGCAACCAATTAAATATGAGGCGACAGTGTGCAGCAGCAGCAGCCAAAAAAGCTAATGCAATCCTAAATTGTATTAACAGAGGGATACAATCAAGATCAAGGGAAGTACTAATACCACTCTATAAAGCATTAGTAAGACCACACCTAGAGTACTGCATCCAGTTTTGTTCACCACATTATAAAAAAGATGTTGAGACTCTAGAAAAAGTACAGAGAAGAGCAACCAGGATGATTAGGGGACTGGAGGCTAAAACATACAACAAACGGTTGCAGGAGCTGGGCCTGGCTAGTCTAGTGAAGAGAAGGACCAGGGGAGACATGATAGCGGGCTATTTTCTAAAGCGCCTGTAGGCCAGACAAGGAATAAGGGATGGAAACCGAATAAGGAGAGATTTAACCTGGAAATAAGGAGAAACTTTCTGACAGTGAGAACAATCAACCCGTGGAACAGAAGTTGCCCTCGGAAGTTGTGGGAGAGCCATCACTTCAGACTTTCAAGAAGAGATTGGACTGCCATTTGTCAGAAATGGTGTAGGGTCTCCCGCTTGGGCAGGGGGTTGGACTAGATGACCTACAAGGTCTCTTCCAACTCTGTTATTCTAGCTTTGGAGCTAGTATTAAATTGTTTTACAAAATGCAATGGAAGCAAAACTGTTAGCAATATAAATAAAGCTCAGAATAAATGCTTCTTTTTCTCTCTGCCATCCTGTGAGCATATATGTGGCAGAAATTTGGACAAGATAATCTACAGATTTCCCCAAAATTCAGAGGAAATTTATTCCATCAAATGAACACATATGCAATTACAAAAATGAAAGTGCATTTTTCCTATTTTCTTTTAAACTAAAAATCATAGTTGCATATTGGTTTGACATTCCAGATTGGATGAAATAGAAAACTACGGTTGTAGATGTTTTGATCTAATTACCTCCTTACCTAAAGAGGAAAGAATACTGCGCATGTGTATGAGAAAGGTTCACATAACTTGGTAAATATAAGGCAAGGTTGGGAGAATACACTTGGTATTTATGGGGAAAATTGTATTCAATTACTGAACACAATCTTTCTAATAGATCAGTTTTTAATTTGAGAATTGCTATGTTCTTTTATAAATATGCCTCAATGTACTGAATCTCAAGGCACTTCAATGGCAAAAACTTGGAAACTTTACATTAAAATATCATTGTATTTTTAAGAATTTCTTTCAGCCAAAATTAGTTTGTTAATAAGGTGAATTCAGCAAACATGGATTTAACCCCCTTTTAAATAAATATACACATATGAAATTTTTTTTCGAAAAAAATACTAACCTACTTGCTTTCTTTCTCCCTCTTTACATGCCTTATTCTCATTCTGCCTCCTTCCACTTCCAGTTTCTTCCTCACTCATGTCTAGTTTTTCTTTACCTTCTCTGTCTCTCTTTACAGGTTTCTTTAAAACAAAGTGAGAAGCTTATCTATTTTGTCTCTCCTAATAAATAGCAAGTGTTCTTTCCATCATCTACTTCTTTTGCAGAATTTACTGTTTTCACTTTTCTCCTTATGTATATACATTAGTGTTTGGCTCATTTGGAGCACCTTTCTTTTATGGCAGGTTGCTTACCTGTAATGGACATTAATGGAATGACGCATCCGGCCCATGGGCCAAGAGTTTGACAGCCCTGATCTAGGACTTTACATCAGATAGTTACCCTGTTTCTCCAACAATACGGCTTCCCCCAATGGGAAATCCCAGCATGTTTTATAGGCATGAAATGAAATTAAGCCCCTCCCCCCAAATTAAGGCCTATATTAAAACATGCGAAATGGGGGGGAATGGTGTGGGGGGCTGGCCGTTAGAAAGTACTTTTGTTGCACACCCGGATATGGTGCTGCCTGCGTTGACCCCGATACGAAGTGCCCCACCACCGCAGAGGTCAACATCCAAGCCATCACTGCCCGCCTACCCAAAGATGCAAAGGGGAGGAATTAAGACACCCCCGAAAAGACGGCCTAGCCATTTTTTCGGGGCTCAAAAAAAAATAAGATCCGGCCTTATTATATGAGAAACACAGTAGTGCCCTTCTTTCTTTGAGTATAGAAATCTATACTGTGTATACACATCTCAATGTCTTCCTTTCCAAATTTTATAGATTGAATATTAATAGGTAATTACTTATAACTAGGTGATTAATATTTTTAAAGTTTGTTCCAAGTTAAAAAAAGAAAGAAAATGCTTTCCATAAAGTAATTCACTTGGCAGAAATTACCATAAATAAGTACTGGTTATCTGAAGCAATATGCTACCCTTACCAAATTAAGATTTCACTGTATTATTGTCATTGGGGTGATTACTACCTCTTCTATTGCTTTCTAATATTATACTTATTTTTCAAACTGTTCTTCTTTTTTTGGTTGTTTTTTCAAATCTTAAACTTTTCATTCTCTTTCCCCACTTTCCTTTTTTTCCCTCACATAAAATTACTTGATCATTAAAGATGGCTCCTTCCTTGTCCCAGTCTTCTTGTTCTGCAAGCATTTTTTGTTGTTTCTCATAGTTCCAGATCTCCATTTCTAAGAGTTGAAATATGAAGACAAAAGAACCTCTCCCTTCTTGTGCATCTTCTTTGTACTTTTTAAGTTCCATTTTCAGTTCTTCTAAAAGTGGTGCCATTTTAAACACTTTTAAACAATCACCCAATTGATTGTAGTCATTTAAATGCAATAACCAAAAATCCAAAGATCACCAAGAAATCCAAATATCCAAAGCTATTTCTTCTTGCTTCTTTTTTCCACTTTCTCTTCCTGGGGTTCTATTATTTTGTTGCTAAGTTTCAGTTAAAATGTATCTTTTAGGAATCTTGTTGAGGTTTCACTGTAAATTCCTTTTAATTCCAGGCAGTCTCCTCCATTTTTCCAGATCCTTCCCCTTTTATTCTTTTTCTCTCCTTTCCTGGTTTTAAAAGCTTTTAAGTATCCAGAAATCTTTATTATCCATTTGACATTTTATTTTCAGCTTAAATGCCTATTGATGTCAAAGTGGATTTTTTTTTCAATTTCTTGCTTAAGTCTCTTAGCTGTCAGTATAAGGAAGGGAAGAAAAAAAAATCCTTTCCCTTTCCTCTCTCCTTCACTGCTTCAAAATCTTTGGGAACAATGTTTTTTTTTTTTTATAGTTTAAATTCCAGGGTACCTTACGTTGTTGCTTTTGCAGTTTAACCCGGTCAACCAAAACTTTCTCTTTTTATCTTCCTCCTGCACATTCTTTTCCGGTCGAGTTCTTCTTTGAGGTGGCCATTTCTGACCACCACTGCAACCGTCTTTGGGAAAGGGAGTAATGGCCAGCTGGGGAGGAGAGTTGCGGCTCTCCTCAACCCTGCTGGCAGTCTCCCCTCTCTTCACCACCTCTACGGGGTGGCTTAGCCCCGAAACCAGCTGGCTCGGGGCACTCCGGCGGTGAGCACAGATCGAAACCGCGCACGATCGCAGTTTCAGTCTGTCAACGAAGGGACTCAAACCAGAAGTCCCCTCTTTTGATGATATTGTATACTTTCGTTTATTCTCTAATCCATGTGCAAGTCTTTCTATCTTTTCTTGTCGAGCATATATTTTTCCATGGTTCTTTGTGCCACTTGTAGTTTTTGTATTGATTGTGAGGTTAGTGCCCATATTTCACTGGCAAATGTTAGAGAAGTTAGCACACACTGATCAAAAACTTTTCAGGCATACGGGGAGGTTGTTCTTGAAAATTATGCTTAGCTTGCCTAATGCCCGACAACCACATTTAACATACTGTTCAATTTTCTTTATTGTATCGCTTTCCATTGAGATCTGTTGGCCAAGGTATATGTAGTGGTCTACTATGTCTAGTTCTTCTTTAGATATAATTTTTTTTCTTTCTTTGGTGAATTTATTAAACATAACTAGGCTTGTTTTCAGGTTTATTTTTAAGCTAAATTATTCTCCTGCTTTGTGCAGCTGTATGTGTCTTTGTAACTCTTCTGGGTTTTGTGAGAACATCATCATCTGCAAATCTTAAATGATTTAAACATGTGCCATTGATAATTTTATTCCATCTTTTGCCCAGTCTAGTTTGTGAATTTGATTACAATCCAGTGTCTATAAAAACAGTGCAGTATTGCTTTATTTTGTAGAACTATTCATTTTTAAAACTGCTTCAGGCACGGGGGAAAGCAACTTCTGGTGTGGAGCGGAAGGCCAACTGCTCATTCAGTGTCAGGCAGGCAGGCAGGATTTGGTACAGGGTGGTGTGGAGCGGGAGGCCAGAGTCCGTGAGAGGGTGGGAAACTTCTCAAGGGAGGAAGGGGCGGAGGGAGGGAGGAAGAGTGGAAAAGAAGGGGAGGCAGATCGCATCGCGCCCTGCCCTCCCCAGCTCCCTCCCCCAGTCCCATGAAAGACTGCAAGAAGCTCCCATCTCAGCTTCTCTTGTCGTTCTTTCCTCCTTTTCCTCCCCAATGTCACAGTCTGCCTCTACGGCTTCCCCTGCACTACCGCTCTTGCAGCCTTTTGTGGTGATTTATTTTTCTTTCCTTCAGTCTCTTTTATTTTCTTTTTGAATGAACCCTACATGTCAAGATCCGGTTGCTGCCAAGGTCCCACTCAGCACCCCAGAAATCCCTGTCGCCAGACACTACACCCAGGCCCTCAGCTATCCTTCCTTCTTTGCTTGCTTCCTTTCCACTCTCCTTTGCTCCCTTGAGGGGTCAAAATGGGAAGGCCCCCGCCCACCATTGCCTGCACGTTGTCCGCTCTGTCCGGAGTTGCTGACAGGTTAAAAAGAAAAAAACACGAGCAGCGCCTTCCTCCCCCTCTTCCATTGCTTCTGCAGAAGCTCCTTTCCCCTGTACCTGAAGCCGCGGGCCCCTGCCATTCGACTGCCATGCCAGAAGCTGCTTTCTTCCATGCCTGGAGAGGTGCGCCACTGCCGTTTGGCTCCTGCACCTCCCCCATAGCTCCTGCAACTGCCTATCACATGCTGGCAGCCAGGAGCATCATGGCTTCTGCCTGCCACCTGATTGGATGGTGCCTAATTGTCCTGTGTGGCCAAAGGCCCGGGATAAACAGTGTGTCAGGCTGAAGAGCGCAGGGTAGAGGGCCAGAGGCCAATTGGTCAGGGGAGGAGAAAAGCTGGCTGTAAATGGGCTGAGGTGGGAGGCTGAAGGTGAAGGGGGCATGGCCAAGGGTGGCAGCCTGAAGGTCCCATTCCAGGGAGAAGCAGAACAGAGAAGAGAAGAGTAATTAATTCAGCAGTCGGATTAGCACATTAAATCAGATTAAGCTATATGTGCTTTGGAGAAGTTTTGTTAGTTCATAAGACATAAACTAGAATTGAATTCAGACTTACATGAAGTAACTTGAGAAACTGAATACTTGAGAAGACTGCAGAAAACCATTTGCAAAAGCCACTACTATTATTATTATTAACTTGTATTCATGAAACTCAGTCAACTGAACATTTAAAAATGTATCACAAATATCATTGACTGGCTCTGATGGTTGATACAGGTTGCCGCCAGCATCCTAGGTATCAACCAAGTATCTTCTTAAAATGTATGTTGTTTTGAGTAGTCCAGCCTTTTGCAGCTCCACTGGCGCTACAGCAGGAAGCTGCATTTCTTGATATATTTTGTAATATTCTTGGACATGGTACCAAGTGCTCCAATGACAATCGGTATCGCTGTTACATGTTTCATCCATAATGTAGTTTCAACGGCCAGGAACGATATTTTGTGATTTTTTCCAGTTCTTTTTCTGTGACTCAGGCGTCTGGTATAGTGATATCAAGAAGTTGTATGCTTTGGTTTTCGACAACTGTGATATCTGGCATGTTGTGTTCCAAATGATGATCTGTCTGTATTCAAAAGTCCCACAAGGTCTTCACCTTCTCAATTTCGACAACTTTTTCCACATTGTTGTTGTTGTTCTTTTTATTATTTAATTTTAAAGTATCATGGTCAGAAAAATCAATTCTTTCCTTAGGGGGTTTCTGATAAGAATGCTTTTGGGGAAAATGTTGGGCTTTATAAAATGCTTTGTTGTTTTCTGCTATTAATTTTATTTTAACCGAACAGTAATATCTAAAAAACACCATGGGAATGAAAAAAGCTGTGATTTGCATACAATTTCCTTATTCCCTTACCTTTTCAACCACTCCTTACTCAACTTCCCAGTTCTTTTTATGCTATCTTTCCTTTTTTCTTGAACTGCCATTAATTTTACATTCAATCCCTTTATAGACTTATTACTGCTACTTCCTTTCATTTTGGACTAACTTGTTATAGGAAGTTTCAAAATCACATGTTCTCTTCACTCTTTAATTCATTATATGTTAGCAATTTATTATACACTTCACTGTTTTCTAATGAAGTGTTAAATTACAGTATATTTTATTATCAGTTTATGGTGATGGCAAACTAATGGAGAGAATTAAAGGCATTGTTGCTGCTATCATCATCATCATCATCATCCGGCATCACTAAATTACATTTGTACAACTGTGAAACGCCTCTCCCTATCTGCCCATCCCAACAGAAGGAATAGGGTAGGCACATTCCAGGTCCTGTTCCTTATGCGTTGCCATTTTGGAGTCTTGGAAGTATGCCTTTTGCGCTGAAACCTCTTCCCTATGATGTGCCTTTTCCATTGAGAACCGAAAGGTCTCACACCTTCTGTCTTTCAGGAAAGCCCTTAAAACCTGGGTCTTCTCCCCAAAATTGGAATAGGACAAGATGAAACTAGGATGAGAATGTGGGCTGCAGGTAACTGTGGCTGTGGTTCCAGCTTTTTTTGTTTTGGATATTTTTCTACTGGTTGTTAACCTCCCATAATTGATATATGATGGGAGGCTATGCAAAGGTTTTAAACAAAGGAAGAAACTGAAAATCAACATAGCCTACCCAGCATGTAATATTGATAGAAAGAAACAGCAGAAAACACTGATCTTTCAGAGAAATGTTTGTGTCAAAGTTGGAGTCTTTATTTCTATCAAAAGTGCTATTATATACGTCAACAGAAGAATGCATGCTTTTAAAACGAGGCAGGCATTTTGTGCCTTCTTGATGGACTTTACATATCAATCTGGTCTATTAAGTTGCAAACCTTACTTTCTTGTAGCTATTCCAGCTATTTGCAAATTCTGCATAAGAGTCTCTAAAGATGGGGAATGAGTATCATGTTTCTAAAATTTCCTACACATCTGGCTCTAAATTTAACTGGATAATCATAAAACAACCAAATCTGACTTTTAAATAATGTTCAACATTTCAATCAGTATCTTCAAGCACTCCATGGAGCCTATTTATGCATAATTTTATTGTTAAACTTCCATAAAGGAACAATAGAAATTAAGATGTTAAGATGTATTTGGGGGCTTTCGCTGTTTTTCTTAAAAAAGCACTCTGCCTAAGACAAGGCAAAGAGTTAAAGACTGCAACATGAAATAACTTTTCAGCTAAACATAACCTAAAGTTAGAATAGAAATTATAGCTTAGAATGACATTCACAATTACTAACCTTTGCTAAGTAAGCTTCCACTCTGTTTTTTGAGGCTAATGAAGTTCCATTTGTGTTCAGGAATCCTCCTCCAAGGTTAAAAGATTTATTTAATGCTAAAGGGTTGCCAAGATTTCCCATCTGAACTGTTTCCAGGACAGGACTTGAAGAAAGGCTTCCACTTACAAAGCCGTTGGCAAGTAAAGACTTGTTTTTGTGACGCTCTTGATAGAGTTGAGTGTTGGCTTCTGCTAATTTCACATTCGCTCTGCAAAAGGTTAGTTAAATAAGATACCATCTTAGGATAATGATTCACTTAACTGCATAAAAAGTCAGAACTCCAGGGAAAATGTAAATGTATCTCTAACCTGTTCCAAAAATATATCTATCACTCTGTTATTTAGATGATAATTCAGAACCACCAATTTAGTATTAAATGACAGACCTATAATTTTAGGAATATGAATATGTCAAAAAGAACTTTATTTGCAGAACTATATTCTCAGAATACAAACAGAAGTATAAACAGAAAGGTTATTTTCCTAATGTATTTAACCACTAATCTGAATAAATGTTTTCTACTTTACTAATATATTTAATAGTGTCATAAAATATAAAATTAAATATTATATTTAATATTATATATTCTATGTTAATATTAGTTTTAATATTTTATTTTTAATGCACAATGTTACAGTTGTTTTATTCTGTTATTTGTGGTATTGTAAGCTACCCAGAATTGCTTGGTAGTAAGATGGGTATCATACAGATTTACTAAATAAATACTTAAATGTTGCTGTTACCATATGGTATCTTTGAAACCATTCAACAGACTGCTTTGCATTAACCAGGTATCACTATCATAGGGAGATTACAATACTAAAATTTTCTTTTCATATTGACATTATCCAATCCAAAATAAATAAGAAAAAATACAAGTTTACAAAATTGAAACATTGTTTACTTACCGATCCAATTTGCTCTCCAAAGATTTCCGAATTTTTATTTCTTCTGAATACAATCCTTTATATCTTTCCAATTCTGTATGGGTAGATTCTTTTTGTAATATGCTATCTTGCTGGTTGTTTTTAAATTTGGCCAACTCTGATTCTAATTCTTTAATTCTGTTCTCCAATTGATTTCTCAAAGAAGCATTACTGGTAGCTCTTATCTGTTCCAAGGTTTCTTGAGAAGCAGCCTGTGTCTAATTCACAAAATGTGAATTAGAAGAAAAGTCCTTGCTGTACACCCAAATCTTAATTAAACCATTAACTGAGAATATATTGTCTGAGTGTAGCAACCTGATGAAAATCTTAAGCAATCTTGTCAATGAAATAACTTACAATTAATATTTTTCAATTATTTAAAAGAGCCAGTTTGGCTAATGACTAAGGCACCAAGCTAGAAACCAGGGGACTGTGAATTATAGTCATGTATTAGATATGAAAAAGCCAGCTAGGTGATTTTGGGCCAGTGATTCCCTCTCTCAGCCCAACCCACCTCACAGATTTGTGATTGTGGGAAAAACAGGAAGACTGAATAGCAGATACAGTATGTCCTATGTCTTGAATTAGTGATAACAATAATAAAGACAGGAAATAGGTAACTAAGTAAGTAAGCAAGCAAGCAAGCAAGTTACCTGCAAAAAGAAATTGACTTCTTCCAGTTTTTGTCTTATCTCTTGTTTAGCTCGTTCTTCAATGTCTCTCTTGTATTGTTCCACTTGGCTAAGATCTATTAAGTTACTCTGTACTTGGCGTTTGAGATTAATTACTTCTTCTTCTAGTTGCAATTTGCTTTTTTCTAATTTTTCATGATTCTTATGGAGTATCTTCATAGATGCTAATTGTTCACGCAGTTCACAATTGGCAGATTCCAGCTGGGTACTTCTTGTTGACTCAACCTCCAAATGGCGAGATAATTCATCAACCTGAATAAGCAAGTGACACTTAAAAGAAAAAGACTACCAGCTTCTCAAAATACAGGCAATCCCCAGGTAAAAGGGTTCCTTCCATGAATGTTCACCAGAATGAAATGTATTCAGAAAGGACACTTACGTTAGAAATTCAAAACTTGTGATCAAAAACGGGCCTCTGTAGCCATGTGACTTGGATTCAGTCACCGCTGCAGCAGCTGCCATTTTTAACTCTGTGTATTTCCTGGGCCTTTCAGGTTTTCAAAGGCAATTTCCGGAAGCCAGCAGGGTATTTTTTGGCTCTGGTCACATGGCCAAACAAGATCCTGGGTCTTTGCGGCCAGCCGGTTTCCAGGTTTTTGTTTTGTTTAGTTTTTTGATGCTGCATGGCAGGTCTGCTGCTGCCTGGGCTCGAGAACTGTACTGTAGGGCTAGAATTGCTTCTGTAAGTATTTTAAAATATTCTTTTTGGTTACACTGTAGTACTGTACTGTCTGTAAGCACTTTGGGAACTGCTCTGCTTCTTTTTAAGTACTGTACTTACTTTGCAAACTACAGTGTTATGCTTGTAAGCACAGTTCTTTGCAAAGATAAAAGTTTGTTTGCATCTGCCTAAAACTGCTTGTAGAAATGCTAGCCAGCATCTACAGCATTCTATAATGCTGTGTGCTGTATCGCTTCTCTAAACTGCTGATTTTCAAATTTTGCAAGCTATTTATATGAGTTTTGGGATTTTGCCTGGAGAGTCTTGTGCTGATTAGGGCAGTGTTTTTTTTTAAAAGAGGTTTTAAGTCTAAATTGCCTCCACAAGTTGTTGGTGCCCCATCACTGGAGGAGTTTAAGAAGAGACTGGATAAGGCGTTTATCAAAATACTCGTGACAGCAGTAAGTGGACTAAATGAGCTCCAGGTCCCCTTCATCTCTGTTACTATTGCAAGCCAAGAGTTCTGTAAAAGCCCTTCCCCATATGGCTGGCTGGAGACTGTTAAGCTAAGTGGAAAGTTTTGTAAATTACTGCCACCCCCCCAATCCCCCTTCTGGGCAGCTTAAGCTATACCGGAAAATAGCTGGTAGATCGGCGGAGGCAGAAACCGCTGATTGGTGGCAGACCGGTCTTCATTTATTTAACAAGCCATTTAATTCAATTAATTAATTTTAAAAATTTGTAAAATTGGTCTGATTCATTTGATGAATTTTTTGACTTACGAACCTAATGGACCAAAAACATTTTAATTAAAACTTTATTAAATTCATGTACCCTTCTCCCCTCCCCAACAAGGTGACTCAAGCAGCGTATAAATTTAATAAATTTTATATTAAGTTTTAGTTAATATATTCTATGTTGAAATGATTAAAACAAAAAAAAAATTCCAAATGGAAAACCAAATACTAGTATAAAAGTGCAGAAACTTGTACAAGCAGTTCCCAGGGGTCAACACTGATTCGAAGGCACAAAACAAACAGATAAATAAATACCTCTATTTCAGGTCTCTGGATAGTTTTATAGTTTTTAGAATTTTAAACATTGTATAAAGCAGCCAATTGTGTAGTACATGAAAGTCTAAAAAAGGCAGACCAAATCAGCGCTACCCACTTAAATGAAAGATTTGTTTCATTATAGAACACCAACAAGAGAGAGAACCAGTTATTCAAAAGCCTTGAGACTTCTAGACTACCCCCAGGTCCAAACCTCACAGAAGAAGCAATTTAAAGAGGAAAGTCAAATAACCCAGTTTCCCACTGTACTGTTTTATTTATAAATGATGACTAGATGAATTGGGCTTGGATCTGATTGTTCACTAGTACAAGGACTATGTACGTGTTATCATGTAAGAATGAAATTGAAATAAATTAAAGTCATAGCTGGTACATACCCTTTTTCTTAGTTTTCCAACTTCAGTGTCGATTTCTGAATATTTATTCTTTATTTCTCCATGTAAGCTTATTTGAGATGAACTTTCTCCACTCTCATAACCTTTTAACTTCTTTTTGGTTATTTTTAGAAGTTTTTTTATACTACAAAGAAAAAATATCTTACTGCAATTGTTTATAAAGTATTCCGTAGATGCTATTTTTGCTGCACAAAGAAAGAATTCTACCAGGCTTAAAGAATGGAAAGAATGTGAAAAATAACGATTTGCTATTTTTTTAGACCTTGTTCATTACTCTACAAATAGCCATTTTAAAGTGACCAAAACTTCAATTTAACATTGTTTTTCCAATACTGTAGATGCACGAATTAATAATTCACACAATAGTTTGCACTTCTAAAGCATACAATGTTCTCTTCATTTTTCTATAATTCATATCAACTATAATGTTATATTCTTTTATCTATTTTGCAGCAAAACTGCTGTTATTGCCATTGTAGTTAATTCCTTTGGGGAATCTAATTCTATTAATGTATAATTCAACATGTCATTTTTTTAACGCTATGTATTTGTTGCTCCTTGCTTAATAACCAGTCGAAGTTACAAAAAACTCCCAAAAAGTTAGTTATGAGCCCTACTCAAAGTTATGGTTGGCACACCCCATTGCAGTCACATGATCAGTTTGGGTATTTGACCACCTGTTTACATTTACGACCAGTTGTAGCAAACCATGGTCATGTGACATTAGCAAAACCCCCAACATTTGGGGAAATGGATTTGCTTAAACAAACATGATTCGCTAACAGTGACTCACTTTATGATCATTATAAAAAGGATTGTAAAATCAAGTCAGATCATGTATTGAACCTCTTAATGATTGGGCTCAATTGTGGCTGTTAAATGAGGACGATGGGTAATTCCTGACTTATGACCGCAATTGGGATCCAGAACTGTCGCTAAGTGATGCAGCCTTCAAGTGAGCTGTGTCCAGTTTTACCATTGTTTTGCTATGGTCTTCAAGCAAATTCACCCATTTAATTTGCTATTCAGAAGTCCCCTGGGAAGGTAATAAATTGTGGTCACAAGACCCACGGACACTGCAACTGCTAAGCACCCAAGTTTATCACATAAGCCCAGGAACATCGCCAAAGCGGAAAATGCAACAACTGGTAGTAAGTCACTGCTTTCAGGTCCCTCGTAACTTTGAACAGTTGTTAAACAAATGGTTATAACACAAAGACTACTTGCACCTATATTATAAACCAAGAAGTAGTTATTAATTGTATTATGATTATTAACAATGTGTAAAAATATATATTGAAACTTATAGCTCTCAAGGACTATAATAAATTCAGGGGACTTAAGAGATACAATCCCGGGACTGATTAAATCTTATTAATAATTGGCCTTACTGGTGTTTCTAGAAAAATTGAGATATTGGAATTATGATGGAATATTGACTAATTTTTAAAATATCAGTGATTCAGCAGGGGACAACAAACACATTGTATGAATATAAATGTTATTGATGTTTAAATGTAGCTATGGAGAAAGTGATAAAGAATCATAAAGAAAGAATGGTATTGTTTAAAGACAAAGATTTGAATGTAGAAGAACCCCAACAAATGGGGAAAAAAAGTTAAGTACAAATTGGGAAAATAGTATTATACACAGTGACATATAAAGGAATTTATTATAATTACAATGTGTATGTTAAGTTTAGAAGTTGGAAGACAAGGATTACGTATATTTAATTGTATCATTATTGCTGCTGTTATTTGCGAAGTTGTATCCAACCCATCGCGATCTGATGGCAAAAAGTATATTGAGCCAGTTAATATACTGTCCACAAAATATGCATGGTTGTTAAAGGAAAATTACAAATAAAACATATACAAAAAAAAGAGGTAGTGCATGACATGCAGAAAAAATGGGTCATAGAAACAGAGATACTAGCTTTTATGTGTAAGATTATTTCATTATAGCAATGTTAAATATATTTAAAATAAAAGTTCTATACACAGAAAACATCTTAGCAATAAAAAGTTACCCATGATATTCTTTTTGTAATTCATTGTTCCTTTTCATTTCTTGATCTAGTCGCATTTCCACTGATCGTTTTAATTCTAGGACCTTCTTCACTTTTTTCTTTTCATTCTCAAACTATAACAGAATAAGAACATAATTTCCAGACTTGACAACATTTTAGTGCACAAATAAACCTCTGATGGTATTCCACCTTCACTTTGAGCTTTGTGAAAGAAAATAACTATACTGAAATATATTTTATTTCTTCACGTACATATTTACTTCCATAATTTTCAAAATTAGTTTTATTAAGACCCTGGTACTCTGCCCAGATTTTAAATGAGTATCCTGACGCTATAGTGCAGCAGCAATCTCTAAGAAAGTTCCAATGTTGGTAAAACTCTCTGCTAAGAAGCTGAAGCTTGTACTATGAAACGAATAAGGTAATTTGGAACAAGGTTTTGGGTTTTCGTGAGTTTTTCAATTAAAATTTTGAACCACACCCATCTATGAAGGCTAACAGCAGGCCAAACCGTGTCAAAAAGGATTGAAATCCCTTTCATTGTCAATCAGTAACCCTGAAGATCAAATTAGTAACGACTGTCACAATCACAAAATTTTAGAAGGTTAAGGTATCTCGAGGACTGAAAGAGATTTTAGTTTTATTTTTGCTTCATCCAGCTCTTGTCCTAACTAATTTTGTCACTTTCTTTTGCAAGCTGCAGTAGCTAAATGACTTGGTCAGGTGATTGAAATATATTATGTCAAAGGCACTTAGACCTCTGTCTCAAGTCCAGCAATTTCATTTACACTTATTTATAAAATTCATAAATTATAATTTCTTATCACTTGTGTACAAAAATGTAGATTTCATCATTCTGTCTCAAAACAGAAAAAAATCAGGCATAATCATCATCTTCTTTTAACAACCTCATAATCCCTTCTGGGGTGGAGTCCTTGCAACTGAATGGAGCTAGCAGAGTGTTTTAATAGCCAGATGCCCTTCCTACTGCCAATGTGGAGTTTTGCAAAATTCGGGCATCTAGACCTTTATGTCTTTTCTTTATTTGATTTAAAGTTAAGAATTTAAAGGAGTGTAACTCAAAAACCCCTATATTACTTTTTTTTCCTGTGCTTTGTTAGCATCTTTGTCTTTGGGAGAACTCACAAAGGACAAGGAGTAAAAAGAACTTTACTTTTTTTCAGTTCCTACAGAAGTAAAAATAGTTTTTCCACTGGATTTATCTGATCTTTATGAAATATTGTTTTATTTATTTATCATCTTTCAAAATTCTCATTCTAGCAGGATTTAAAAATGCTGCTTCCTAAAAGCATTGCGAATCTGTCAGTTAGATAGATCAATTAGGCACGATAGGCAAATAATATAAAAAAACAACAACCCTCCTCTGCGCCATTAAATGCCCACTATAAAAACTATGAGTGAAAAGATAAGTCACACTTTCACAGCATGATGTTCCACATCTCAATCAGTTATCAGTTTCTCTCATCCAGATAATGTCTGCTTCTGAAATCCTTAATGAATTCTGAATCCAACATATTTAAGGCTTATTGTTTATTGATGCCAGACGCTCATATGAATGCTTTATTTCTTCAATTTTCCCTACCACAATGGTCCTGTGAAGTGGTTTGAACTGAGGGACTTAGTGACTGGTCTAAAGCACCAAAACTCAAAAGAGTTTCCCAAGGCTGAATGTAGACTTAAATTTGCTTTCCCTAGTCTGATACCTCAACCATAATACCAATTGTTTCTTCATCATTTCCAACACAGTGAATTATTGAAACTGAACCTACCTGAGATATTAGTTCTGTCTTTTCCTTATCAAGCTCAGAAAGGCGAATCCCAAGTTTTGATTTTAATTTCAGTTCTTCTTCCCACAAATTCTGAGCATCTTGTGCAGTTACTGAAAGCATACTCTCCTTCTGAACCTGAGGAGAAATTGAACTGCTTCTGAATAAAAATCATTACAAAGGAGCCCTTGAAATAGCCAAGGCATCTTTATGTAGATATAGAATTTAATTCAGATAACAAAGATCAGATTTCTGTGTGGAAATGGCAGATTGAAGACAATGCCAATGATCATGGTAAACAAAGAGCCTACTGGCTCTGTAATTCTTCTCCAAACAAGCAGAAGACTTCAGGTTATCCAGAAATGCTCCAGACAGTTGGATTTACAGCTCTGGGAGAGAAGGTTATAGCCATCTTGCTCAAAACACAGTCACTCTTTAAAAGGAGGCTGGATTGGTATACTTTCTTTCCTAAAGTTTGTCAGGGGTGAGATTCAGCCGGTTCGGATTGGTTCAAGTAAACCGGATGTTAAATTTACATCTGGTTCACTGAACTGGTAATTGAACCGGCCAGCTGGCCCTGCCCACCCGTCCCCTCTCCTGAGTCTCCGGGTGGCCCGTTTTGGATGCAGGTAAGTGCGCGGTCTGGGAGGGTGAAAAACAGGCCTCCCGGAAGTCCGGAAACAGGCTTGTTTCCAGCTTCCAGAGAACCTCTTGACCCTAGAGGAGGCCATCTTTGCCCTCCCAGAGATTCGAGGAAAGCCTCCGGACTCTGGGGGAAGGTGAAAAAACAGCCCTCCCGGAAGTTCTGGTAGGTAGGCCACTCCCACCCAGCAACTGAACTGGTTGCTGGAATTTTAGAATCCCACCCCCGAAGTTTGTATATTTCTAATACAAGAGCAGGATTCACACACATAGATGTTTATTCCGTGTTTGAAATCCATTTCAAATGCTATTATTCATATTTTCCTTTAATCTTTATTGCTAATTTGACATAGCAATGGCTGCAAGAATGATTGTGTGTTTTTATTGGAAGTAGATTCTTATTCTAAGAGAACAATATTAAGCAGAGATAATAAGAAAGTTATTATCTTATTAAAATTCACACTTTGAGTAAGTATGCATGCCAATTCAAAAACATCCACAGAATCAAAGATTTACATTTGCTGTCTGATATCTATGATTCCAGTACCAATCTTTCGTGTGCAATAATATAAAAATTAACAGAAACGAAAGGGAATAATCTACAAGTGAAATGTGTCAATTTTGTTATATGTGAATTATTCTTATCTTGAAAATACTGCTGTTTGTTTCATTTTTATGAAACACTATCGTGTAGGTCTTTTTGAAATATCTCAATTCTATTACTTTGCTGGTTTGTTGCAGCTTCCAATATGGCATTTTCTATTTCAAGTCTTAAAAGAAAAACAGTCTCAAAACAGGATACAATATATTTCTTCCTCTTTACGTGTTTTAATGATTCTATACCACATGGAAATATAAATTGCACAATATTTTTTTATCAATTATATTCATTTAGAATACCTGGTGGTTTAGTTGTTCCTCTAGACTGATTTTTGCTGTCTGTAAGCTGGTTATCAATTCCTCAAGACGATTATGAACCTAGATCATCACAAAAGAAACCAAGAGTCATTATGCAAAAGGTTGCAAAAGTTTTCAGTCTTTAGAAATTCTCTTTTGTTATTTACATCCCTTTCTATTGTTACTTTCATAATTTCAATAATTTTAATTTATTTATAACTTCTGAAGATGAGGGAAACTAATTCAGTATGCTTGTAATAGTTGTCTGAAATATTATATTTTTTTAAAAAAAATATAAAAAACAGGAAAGGAATTAAATATGAAATCTTATTTCCCCAAAATATTATGGTTGACTTACAGAAACACTATCCTGTAGGTCTTTTTGAAGTATCTCAATTCTGTTACTTTGCTGGTTTGTTGTAGCTTCCAATCTGGCATTTTCTATTTCAAGTCTTAAAAGAAAAACACAGTCTCAAAACAGTGCAACTATATTTCTTCCTCTTTATGTGTTTGAATGATTCTGTACCCCATGGAAGTATAAATTGCACAAGAATTTTTTTTTAATCAATTCTATTCATTTAGTACATTTAAATTTCAGCATGTTTTACCTCTGTATGTGCTCTTCTAATTGTTTTATAGTATTATTTGTTCCTGATGATGCTACCAGAAGATCCTGTAGTTTCTGAGCTGATGCACTTGCTTCACGTTCCTTAATGTCCAAAGCATGTCTTAATTCATGAGTAGATCTTTCACACTGGATAGTCTGAACTTCTGAATCTTGCAACTGTAAAATTTGAGAGCCAACGTGACTTAGCCAAAAAATAGGCGCGATGTGCTCTTGCTATGATATACCCCGCCAGTCTAATCACCTCATCCTAGAGTCCTGTAGTTTCTAAATCTCCTTCAAGGGCATCCCTATACAGCGTGCACTGCAGTAATTTTACTGGGAAAGAACTAGTGGATAGATAACAGAAGCAAGATAAACTCTTGTTTCATGTACAATGAAACATCATGAACAAATGGCATTTTTTTTTTGGTCAAAGAGCGTATCTACAACTGATTCTCTGAAGGAAGAACAAAACAAGAAAAGCTCCTTCCCGTTTGCTGACATTTCCTCCAACCAGAATGTCTTCAATCTAGCCCAAGCAGCTCCTCAACAAGCACAGCATACTTGATGATGATGGGCAGAAGAAACCTCAATATTATCTGCCTAGAGAAGGAACCCAGACCTGTAATTCTTGATAATCATTAATGCACTGATTACATACAGAAGTTGAGTAGCCTGGAGGACGCCATAACCTTTATGCACCCCACAGTATATATGGCAGAGAGCCGAATGATATTCTACTTTCTGGAAGGTATTCTCCATGTAGGAACAGAACCATGCCAAAACTATTTCAAAAACTAATGCATCCGAAAGTGTTGGATGTCATCTCTTCCCTTCCCACAGTAGAAGATATAAAGCATTTAATAAACGGTTGCATGCATACCTTACATTTTATCCTTTCTATTTCCTTCAGAAGTTGCTGTTTATCCTCCTCTAAGTCAATACGATAACGTGTTGAAACTTCCAGTGAAGCTTCTGTCATGGATTGCTTTTTGAGGGAATCTGCAAGTTCTTGCTGCAATTGCCTTATTGTACTCTAAAAAGATTTTTAATGAGATAATTCGTACAAAATAGACTGAAAAAGTTGCATTTTAATTTATCTAAGTAATATTTATAATAGATAAAAATGTTCAATAACATATATTTATATGAGTTTGTGCATGTATGTGTATGTCTCTATGTTCATATATACTATACGCAAGTAGTTTTCTTTCCTGACCAATATCAACTGAAGCAATGAATAATTTACTAGCAGAAGGAATGCAAAGATAAATTATTTACAATAATTTTGAAGTGTGCTTAATTTTACATACACCCTATAAGTTGTGCTGTAAAATGGTAACATTTCATTTCCTTATAAAGTCTATCATTATCATATTAAATTCATATAGTGTCTCCAAGTGAAAATTAAGCTTAGTTTAGAAATCTGTATCCTGAAAAATGATTACATTGATGGAATTGACAGAACATAAATCATACTTACCTCTCTGTCTATTTTCTCAGATTCATATTTAATGACTTGGTCCTTTAAATTATTACATTTTGTGATTAATTCTTTATTTCTCTCTTCCATCATCTGAACTTGCTTTTCAGTATCAGCTCTGAGCTTATTAAAAATATCGCTGAATTTATCTTGAACATCAGTCACTGCTTTTTCTTTGATAATGCCCTTGTTCTGAAAATCTTCAAGCTGTTGTCGAAGTAAGAGATTTTCACTCTGGACCTGTCCTAAGCGTTCTTGCATAGATTCCTGTTTTATTACATATTTGCTTATTTGATCCTTTGCAACTTGTTGTGCATTTTCAAGTTCTTTCACTTGGCACTGTGACTGGTTTAGATCTCTTTGAATACTATCTAACAGCAAGTTCTTTTCCCGGATACTGAGAGTTGCATGGTGAAGCTCATTTTCTAGACTATTAGCTTTACTTTCAGCTTTCCCTAACTGTTGAGACAAGCCACTGTTGGTTTCTCGCATAGTGCACACATCGTGGTTCAATTTGTCTTTTAAGCGGAGCCATTCTTCCCTCTCTCGCTGAAGCAATCGTTCAAGGTCACTTTTTGATACCTGACAACGATCAAGTTCCTGAAGAGCAGAATTTAAATGAGAGCGTAGTGAATCAAGTTCTATTTCCAATCTTTCTTTATTTTCCTTGAAATGTTCTAATTTGGATGCTACCATTGCAACCTCAGTTTTTGAGACATTTATTTGTCCATTATATTGAAAAACTGTTTGAGTCAAAGCATCTTCATTTAGCTTCAGTTCTTTTTTAAGTTCTTCATTTTTTTCTTTCAAACTTTCATTCTCTTCCAAATATTTGCTTTCAACCTCCTGATGCTGAATCCTGATGCGATCAAGTTCTAATTTTAATACAGCAAGTTCATCTTGGAGTATTTGATTTCGGTGTGATAATTCTTTTTCATGGTCATGGTTATCAATGATCTGAATATTTAAGAAGCAGAAGGATAACAAATAAATACATTCATAGAATCCAGAGACGTAAGCTACATTCTAGGAGATCAGACAAATTTATGTTGAATAAACGTTATCCATCAACAGATAACATTCAGAATGTCTAAATATTACTTCAGAAATGGACACATTATGTCAATTTTATGACTGAATTTCTGGCCATCATAGTGCCCTATGTGATTGAAATCTGGGCACTTGACAATCTGTTCATGAAGGAACTGGCAGGGAAAGTTGTAAGCCACCACTACCTGTCGGGACGACTCTTTCTAAGCTCTGGGGGCTGGTTGAAAAAGTTCCATGCTGAAATCCAAGTAGGATTTTGGCATGAAGGATTTTCAGTCCTAGTAGACTTGCCTCTCTGCTTAGGGGCTGAAAATCCTCCATGCCAATAGAAGCAGGATTTTCAGTCACTGGAAAATTTTAAGCTCCAGAACAGAGAAGTTTCAGAAACCCTTCATTTCAGTGCTGAAAATCCAAATGGCTCGTAGGTCCAACATTCCCATGTACTTCCTCACTCCATCCTCACTTGGCAGTTCCTGGGGCATGCAACTTTCTGCTGGCTTCCCCAATGAACTTGACTGTAGAAAGCCGGCAGGCAGTTGACTCATCTAACAAACAGCATTTAGTTAATGACAGCAACGAGGACTGCTGGATTGCCGCTGCTAAACAAAGCAGTCGCATTTACAACCGTACCACTTAATGATGCAAATTCCTGTCTCAAATATGGTCAAAATTTGAGGCCTAGGATAAATATTTTTTTATATTGAAAAATGACTAAAACGAACTCTAAGGTAAGAAAAAGTATCCTTTGAGTCACTTGACTCCTAGTAAATTCATAGCGTCATTCATGAATTATCTTTGCAATAATATAAAATCATACATTGCAATGTCCTACCTGTCAATGAATACTTCAGCTTCAACCGTAACAACACAAGAGCACACAATAGATACAAACTCAAGGTTAACCGCACCAAACTTGATGCAGGAAATACAACTTCAGCAACAGAGTGGTCAATGTCTGGAATACTCTACCCAACTCTGTAGTTTCTTCCCCAAACCCCAAAAACTTTAACCTTAGACTGTCTACTACTGACCTCATCCCTTTCCTAAGAGGTCTGTAGGGGGCGTGCATAAGTGCACCAACGTGCCTACTTTCCCTGTCCTATTGTTTCTTTTATTTTTATTTTTCTTATATGTACCCATTTCATGTATTCATAACTATGTATACACTTATTATTTTGTAAACAATTGACAAATCAAATAAATAAAAATAAATGTGAAAAAATGTTTGCCACCATTGTCTACAAGATGTTTTATAATTTGCTAATTTTGTCTATTGTTAATATACCCTGACAATCTCCAACCCAAAGATTCACCAGACTTGACTCAGCTTGTCTTGTAAAACTGAACAAATTCAGCCACCTCTTCTATTCTAATGAGGCAATAAAATGAACATATTCTTTCAAATATTGTTCTCTAAAATACATCATTGTCAAAAAAGGTAAAGGAAGATCTTATATATAAACAAATGTATAAACAGTACTTAGTTAGTAATAATGATTCTTCCTGAATTACAGGTTTTAAATCTACATCATAGTTTAAGATTTAATTACTGATTTATAAGCGTATGTCCTTATTTTAGATATTGAAGGTAGTTTACCATTTTCTCTCTTCCATACACGTATACAAAATATAAGAGCAAAATAATTAGCAATTAAATAGAACCTATCAATAATACAATCCTATCTTCCTTAGGGTCCATATATTTTGTGGTGAAAAAAATTCTATGAGCCTTCATAACAGCCAATAAATTGGAAGGATCCCATACATTCCAGAGCATGGAACAGGCATTTCAAAGGCCTACAACCCCTTCCCCTCACATAGAATGACAATCTTTAGCATCTCTTCCCTGGACACAGAAACAGGATGGGTTGAAACTGACACAGAGAGAGAATTCCATCCAATGTAATATCTAGTAGCTAAACCACCCAAAGCTTTACAGGTAATGACCAGAACTGTAAGGCATCCAGAAAGTATCCATGATATCAATCACTCCGAGACATATTCTCTCCAATTGATTTATTTAGGAACAGATCTGGTACGTCTAAGGCAATTTCCCAAAGTGAAAGTATTTTCATGTGTTACACAGAATCCACCTTCTCTCCTCCCACTTCTACACTTCATAAATCACGAGAACCAATTAACTGCAACTGGAATTTCTTAGTAGACATACAGAATAACCTTGAACTTTTCAACTCCTCCACCCCTTCCTTCCATTAAATGTGGCAGCTGAATTTCAAAGCTGACAAGAACTTTGATTTGTAGCCAATGAAACTGAAAAGAGTTTTATATTTTAAAAATATTTGGCAAAGTGGATACCTCTGACTGTTTGGTTGCTACTTTTTTTGATTCTTCTTCCAATTCCTTCTGCCTCCAGAAGTGGGTATTTAAAATATCCTCTTGTATGGCTCTGGCATTTTGTTCTTGACAAAGTTGTCTCTGTGTTTCATTACGTTCTTCTTCAACCTATAATGTATCAGCCTTGTAGTAAAAGTAACAACTGACCAGTTTGTTATGATCTGACAGATTGTGCCTGTGTATACAGCCACAACTATAAGGAATAGAAGTTGTATTATATCAGAGAATAAAATATACATTAAACAGATACTGACAATTGAGCAACTAAATAAAAAAATATCTAACACTAATAGTTATAAATATGTAAAGTAAATATTAGGAACAATAGAAACACTGTTACTAAAAAGTCATTTTGGCAGCAATATGTTAGTAATTATCTACAGCTGACTAAAATATGGATTTGAATTTCTTTAGACCTGGTACTATTCTATACAGGTTCGTTATGCAGTTTTCTTAACCAATGAAAGTAATTGATTCCATGCTAAAAATTTGGGTAAAACTAAGTAACTGAGTAATTGATAAGGACTAATATCACATTTTCTGAAATAAAATATTAGTTTCAATCTTATGCAGCATTTAGATGTAAAAACACAACCTTGTGAGATTCTTTTGAGAATGTATTTTTTCTACTGAATAAATCACAAAAGAACTGAAAGTATCATATACTTATTGGTAGAAGCCAAGATATCAAATACCTGGATGGAAGCAAATGTCACCTTAATACTGAAAGAAGATTCATATTTAACGCAGATAAAAAAATTATAGGCCAATATCATTACTAAATGTAGACAATAAATGTAGACTCAATAATAGCAGAGACTAAAAAGATTCTTGAATGAATTTATACATTCAGACCAGAATGGATTTTTACTTAAAAGACTTAATTAAAAACAATATGAGAATTATTTTGAATACGTTGGAGTATTATGAAGTACATTCTGAAAAACAAATGGCGTTGATCTTTTTAGATGCACAGAAAGCATTTGACAACGTAAATTGGCAATTTATGTCACTACAATTAACATATATAGACTTGGTGAAAAATTTACTAATATGATTAAGGCAATATATTCTAAACAAACTGCAAAGGTGATGGACATGACAGAGAATTTTAATATCAGGAAAGGCACAAGACAAGGATGCCCTTTGTCCCCCCTACTATTTATATTAACATTGGAAATGTTAAACAGAAACATTAGACAAGATTCAGAAATAAAAGGCATGGAAATAAAACGAAAAATACAAATTACAGGCAGATGACCTGGTATTTATTCTAGAACAGTGGTGGTGAAACGTTTTGCCACCAAGTGCGCCGGCCACTTGTTGTGCAAGCTGGCTGGCGTGCGCATGCATTCTGGGGAGCTGCTCTTCCGGTTTATGGTGCTTCTGCACTAGCGAAGACCAGCTGGCTGGCGCGCCGGAACCTGGAAGAGCAAACAGGAGATGGCTGGAGTGTCTGGAGAGATGGCTCTGCATGCCACTTCCAACACGCGTGCCATAGGTTCGCCATCACGGTTCTAGAAGAACCACAAGAAACTGGACCCAAACTAAGAAAAAAAAAAAATAGAAGAAAATGGTAAGTTGCAGAATTGAAAATAAGTAAAGAGGGAACCAAGATACTAGTCAAAAATTTTACAGCTAAACAAACAAACAAAAGAAAAAAACTGATGAAGAAGACAGATATTCAGATAGTTAAGAAAGTAAATTACTTAGGAATTCAATTAACAGCAAGATGTGCAACTATTAAAGAAGATAATTATACTAAGCTATTGCAATAAATTAAACTAGATCTGGAGAAGTGGGAAAATCTGCAATTATCGATGGTAGGAAGAATAGCGACAATAAAAATAATATCTTGCAGAAATTATTATTTTTGTTCCAAACAATTTCAATGAAGTTAGAAAAAAATATTTTGAGGAGCTAAATAAAATGATGTTAAAATATATTTGGCAAAGGAAAAGAGCAAGAATAAGATTGAAAAGGCTACAAGACTCTAAAAACAAAGTGGGGGTTGGATTGCCAGATTGGGAGCTATATTACCAGGCCTATGTACTTAAATGGGTGAAAGAGTACACGAGACATAAAAGATTATTAATTTTGGAGGGACATGATCTTCAACCAGGGTGGCACACCCTTTTATGGTATGGGAAAAACAAAATATATAGATATTTCCAAAGACATTATGTTCGAACTGCTTTGCTGTTAGTATGGGAAAAATAAAAGAAAAACATTATATGAAAATACCAGTCTGGCTCCCCATGATGGAGGCACTGATACATCCGAAAGTTGTTAACTTGGAAAAAATTACAAGATATAAAGACATTTTTGAATGAAAAAGGGGAACTTAAATCTAAGCAAGAATTGAAAAATCAAGGGATTGATTTAGCATGGTGGTCGCACGTGCAAATATAATCAAGGTATAAGAAAGATGTCTATTTATGAAAAACCAACAGCATTAGATCAGATACTACTAGGGACAGATGAAAAGCTAATAAAAATGCATACAGCTATCTATTTAGCATTAAAATGGAAGAAGAACAAGTGAAAGAAACAATGATAGTGTGGGCCAAAAACTTTAAACTTTAAATGTAAGGCATCCAGAAAGTATCCATGATATCAATCACTGCCGAGACATTTTCTCTCCAATTGATTTATTTAGAAACATACCTTAGAGTTACATAAATGGCAAAAACTGTGGGACAGAAGTTATAAATTAACAACATCAACTGCCTATAAGGAAAATCTATGTAAAATATTTTATAGGTGGCATTTACCACCAGCAAAAATGTTTGAAAACATGTCTTCCTAATGTTGGATACGTACAGGGGTGGGATTCAAATTTCTTAACAACCGGTTCTCTGGGTGTGGCTTAATTTGTGAGTGTTGCTTTGTGGTCATGTGACTGGGTGGGGGGTGGCTTGCTGGTTGGTATGGCTTGGTGGTCACATGACTGGCTGGGCATGGCTTGGTGGTCACATGGCTGGCTGGGCGTGGCCAACTCAATGTCACTCATGTCAAGGGGTGCCTTGCCTAGCCCGTCCCCTCCCAACCATTACTTGTCACACCCAGCCTCAACGTATCTATGGTTCTATAAAAATGTTGTTCACCTTTTTTCGACGTTATTATCTACATACAATAAATGTACTTTCATGAACCACTGAAAGGAGGAAATGGCTCACATGCTTTGCCCAAGAGTGTGATAGGCAACAGGCTTTTAAGGGACTGCCACAAAAAAGAAGGGGGGGGGGGCAATGTATTTTCCAAAGAAGAGAAGGCAAAACAAGAAGCAGTAGATGGAAACTGAACAACGAGAGAAGCAACCTAAAACTAAGGAGAAATTTTCTGACAGCGAGAACAATTAACCAATGCAGCTGCTTATCTCCGGAAGTTCTGGGTACTCCAACACTGGAGATTTTTAAGAAAAGACTGGACAGCCATTTCTCTGAAATGGTATAGGGTTCCCCCCCACAAGGTCCCTTCTAAGTGTTATTCTGTTATTCTGACACCTTTCCCAGGCCCTCTGCTCAGATAAAAAATGTGGCTGTTGGTCAGAGCTCCTCTATTTTTTTATGTGCAACAGCTTTAGCGTTTAGGATCAGAGCTAAGTTAGTGGCTTTTATATTAATACGTAATTCTTAAAAGGGCTCTCCTATAGGGAGGTCCCCAACCATTCTGGCACCAGGGACTGGTTTCATGGAAGACAATTTTACCATGGACCTATGTGTATGTGTGTGTGTGTGTGTGTGTGCGTGTGTGTGTGAGACGGGGGGGGGGGGCGGAGAACAGTATAGAGTTTGGGAAAGAAGCACAAACGGAAGTGGTAAATTAAATAGTGGGTGGACCATGCATGGAGTAAAGTAAGTGTGGGATTGTTACTTAAAGCCTGCCACCAGATGATTTTGCTCCAGTCCAGGGGAAAATCAGAATAAAGACACAAGGAAGACTTCGCTGCAGAAAGAGCTTTCTTTTGCTTTAGGACAAAATCAGAATAAAGAACTGGAAAAGCCTTCACAGGAATAGGCTTTTGTATTCTGCTCCGGAAGAACATTAGATGACGCAGAGAGATTTTTTTCACTGGAAGAGGCTCTCTGCTTTTGCCCCAGAGGAAACCCCCAATCAAAGTCCGGGGAAGCGGAAAGAGTGTGAACGACCACCACCTCACTTTTCAATGGTTCGGCACAGCGATTCTCTCCCAGATAAGACCTGTGACTTTCTGCTTCGAAGAAAGTGGGAAGGAAGGTGGGGGAGAAGAGACAAATTTAACTCATCCTTCCAGCAAAACAAATGAAGATCCAGCATGTTGAGGAAGTGCTGACAAAACAATTCAAAAGAGAGAAGGAGGGGGAGGGGGAGAGGCAGAGAGAGAGAGGGAGGGAGGGAGGGAGAGAGAGAGAGAGAGAGAGAGAGAGAGCGCAAACCAACTCGGCCAGGAGTCTTGATGCAAATGAGAGAGGGATTCCCTTGGAGACCCAGCACTTAAGGTGACATTCCCACACACACACATACCTTGGAGGGATCCCCCTCCAACAAGGCTTTGGAAAACCACTTGGTTGTGAGTTGGGCTGCTGCGTGTTTGTCTTGCAAACTTGGAGAGGACTGGGAAGGGAATGCAAGCCCAGTTGCAGTGCTGGGAGAAGGAGAGGAAGGAAGGAAGGAAGGAAGGAAGGAAGGAAGGAAGGAAGGAAGGAAGAGGTAGCAGGAAAAACGGGAAGCAGGATCAGGAAGAGGAGGCGGCAAAAGCAGGCATAGCGGAAGGAACAGGAGGAAGGAAGGACCTGGAACTCAGGTGTTGCAAGCCAACTGCAAGCCCGGCTGCCGGAGAACCATTGCACTTTGCATGTGCCGGCCTTAACTGTTTGAGGGCAGGAACAAACTGAAGGGAAGCCCTTACATGCTGGCTGGTGGGAGGGAGAGCAGGCGGCTAATCAACTAATTTAGCAACTGGTAATCACCAGATGGGTGGGCATGGCTAGGGGTATGTGACAGGCAGCACTCCTCCTGCACCTCCCTGAAAGCAAAAATAGGCTGTTTTTAGCATAGCAAGCCTCCCTGCAGCCTCAGGAGACACAAAACGGGCCGTGGGGTTTGTGTGCGTGTGCAGCGCACACACCCCTTGCAGCCTGTTTTTGGCCTTGCGTGCCTCTCTGCACTTACCTGGGAACCAGAACCAGGTGCATGGGGACTCCTGGGAGGTGCAAGGTGGGGTGGGTGGAGCCAGCTGGTCTTCGGAACTACCGGTTCGTCGAACCAGATGTACAGTTAACATCCGGTTTGCCTGAACCGGTAGAATCCCACCCCTGGATATGTAATCAGATACCGGGTTCATACTATCATATGTGGTGGCAAAAGGCAAAAAGAAATAAAATGGACATACATACATACATGGTTAAAAAAAATGGTGAAGCAACATACTGATTTAAAACCAGAAATATTTTTGTTGGGTATTTTAGTAGAACAGTATAATAAAGGGAATACATATTTAATTTTATATGTGTTAACAGCAGCGAGAATTATTTTTGCACAACAGTGGAAAAATGAAGAGATCCCTACAGATGAAAGTTAATGAAAAATATTAGAATGCGCAGAGATGGATAGGATCAAAATAAAGGAGAAGGCAGAAACAGAATACTTTTTAACATGGGACTTGTTAGTTAACAAAAACAGAAGTTAGAAATTTAAAAGTTTAAGAGAATGATTAACTATATAATGAAGGTTTACAAGTATGGATAAGCTAATATTACTATTACTATGTGATTATTATCAGTGATATGTATATTATTATTATTACTGTTATTATTTTTCAAAACTAACTGTACTCAGACAAAATGCTGTCCATTTAGATATTGGGTTTTTATGTTTACTGAAGAAAAATGTATAAATAAATTTATAAAAAGGAAAAGAAAATATTGTATACTTATTTTAGAACAAGCTTACCATTTGTCGAACAGCATTCACAAGATTTAGTAACTCTTGAGGGGTTTTAGTAAAACCTACATCTGTTGCAGTTGGTGGGAAATTAATCTTCTTTAAACTATTTTCTTTCACAGGAGGAAAAGAAAAAGAAAAGCTAGGAAGCAAGTTTCCCTGATAACTATTAGGTATGTTTCTTCTGACCAAAGGATTACAAGTATTAGAGCTTCCCAAAGAAGGGCTGGAGAATGAAGAGACCAATTCCTGATTAGGCTGATGAGAATTTTTCATTGTATAAAAATCAGGATATCCTTGGTAGTTTGCCTCATCCTCCATAGCTCTCCAATTGTGATATTTCTATATATAATCTGAACAGCTCATCGTTTTTAGTAATTTGATTTGATGTTGCCCATATGATTTTTGAGCCTCCTGTATATTCTTCATTATGCTACTCTAAGGCAGTTATTGCTCACTTTAACTACGATATTAAGCAAAAGATCCTGAAATTTGCTGCTTCCTCAATGTCAAAAGAAGAAACAGACCCAAAAAATTATTAAATTTGAATTTGTGCAGATGACGCCCCTGCTGTTGTTTGAGCAAAAACATTAGAACATGGATAGAATCTGCAGAGATACTTATTACATTATTGGCATATCCAATCTCTTTGCTTCAGCTGACATCATAAACAACACAATGTCTCTATGTAATTATGAGGTCACTAAAATTCTTTTAAGTCTATTTTCTTTTTGGTCTCAAACTTTTTTTTCCTGATTATAAATAAAATGCATAAAAGATCTGTATTTTCAAATTAAAAATGTTTAATTTTAATTCTAAATTTTCTAAAAGGAACAAAGAATTAAAATGAAGTGCCTGCTTAATTTTCAGCTTCTGGATATCTGAAAGAAATGTGGTTAAATAGCAGATCAAAATGTTTATATAATGGGTGAGTAGTAATTTGTAGCAGACTCAGAAGTATGCAGTTCAGTTCTGTTATTTTTCCACATAATATACAATTTCTAAATATTCTAGTTCCTTTCAAAAAAACCTTGATAAAGCAACAAATCAAAACATTAGGATCTTTCCTTAACAAAGCAACTATAACAAGGAGTTCCTTGCATTTATACCTTCCATAATCCCATTGTGGCTTGATTTTTCCTGCTTTTAGCTTTTTTTTAAAGCTTTTTACTATTACTGTTTCTCTTAAATAAAATTTGTAATTTTGGTGAACTACATTGTAAGGGAATACTTGTCATTCTCAACAGTGTTATATTTTTGCTGCGTACTAAGCAAACCACAAAAGCCTCTTATCTTATCATGGTTATGTGAGCTGGTGTAAGTTCCTAACTAGATCATATTGGATTTATCTACCTGCCAGAATAAGAGTTTCATTGAGAACATGGCATTATTATAGAATGGATATCATAGAATAGCTGGGATAAAAAGAGAAGTATTTTTTTTACTATTCATATTCCTTGGCTTATTAAATCTCTGCATTAGTTGTCTCAATGTGATAAGAAAACCTTCAACAGAAGGTTCACTTTCGTTCTTGGAACATTTTGCCAATCCCTGATGTATTCATTCATCCAAGATGTTCGATTCTAGGCTTTTACTTATTCTATTCTAGGCCTTACTGACAAATTTAACTAAGAATTATTAAGGACCTTAATGTTGAGACTGTGGACCTTCTAACTAAAATACGCAACTTATCTCGATACTCAGCCTTTGCTCCTTGAAAACTGGAATGTGGCCAACATAACTCCATTTTTTAAGAATGACTCATGAGGTGATTCAGGAAATTATAGGCCTATCATCTTAAAATCTGTTTTGTTAGTGGAAGCTACTATTAAAGATAAAATTAGCAAGCACTGTTGACACAGGCCTTGCTCAAAGATCACCAACATAGCTTCATTAAGGAAAGGTTTTATTTCCTAAAGTTTTTTTAAAGATTTTAATAAACATATGGATAAAGGTGAGACAGCAACATTATCTAGATTGTTTTTAAAAGCCTTTCATAATATCTGTAATCTTCTCCATAAGTTTTATAGGCATGGAATATAAAGGACAATCCTTTTTTGGATAAACAACTGGATAACGAATAGGAAATAATGAATAGGAGTAAATTGACATTTCTTACAATGGATGGATAATTAACAGCACTTCCCACGTTCTATCATAGGGCTGGTGCTTTTTAACATACTTATAAATAATCTGGAAATGGATGTGATTAGTGGAACAGCAAAATTTGATGATTGCATTAAATTGTTTAGAATAGTAATGGGTTGCAAAAAGCTCCAAACAGTTATCTGCACATTAGGAAGCTGGGACTGAATGTCCAAATGGCAGTTATCATTCAAATGAGCAATTGTAAAGTAATGCTTATTGGTGCTAAAATGAGACCACAGCTAGCAGTGACTGATCAGGAAAAGATCCTGAAGTAATCATAAACAATTCATTGTAATTGTTGACACAGAGTATATTTGTAAAAAATGCCTACACCATGCTATGGATAACAAGAAATGATACCGAAATATCTTATGTAAATCAATTGTGCACGCATGCAGACAAGGAAAAGCTAATTTCCAGTTCCCCAAATACTAGAAACAGAGATTATCCAATGAAACTGAATCCCGAAAAGATCAGGACAAATTACAGAAAATACTATTTTTACACAACATAGCATTAAACTTAGCAAGTTGCAGCCATAGGGTGTTGGCTACCAGACTGACTTGCTGGCAAAAACAGGCTGGACCAATTCATGGAAGTCATGGTGATCAATGGTTATTAGCCTTGACAGCAGTCTAACTGCCTCTGAAAGTCAACAGGTGGGAGACTAGTGGGCTTCCTTATGCAACTGGTTGGCCATTGTGAAAGCAGATTGGTGGGCCAGGGGTCTGATCCACTGCTAATCTTTATCTTCTTAAGAGAAAAAGAAAGATATAGATAAAAAGCAGTCAACTAGCTAATAATTTATAGCAAAAATCAACATGGGACAGAAACTCTGAGCGCTGTCACGTAATACAGAGATTAATAGGAAAATGTCTTTCAAAATAAAAAGGCAGCTCGTCATAGAAGATAGAAAGCTACTGCTACCTGCAATTAAAAAAAACTTATCCTAAATTGTGTTTTTATATGTTTTTTTCTGTTTAACTGATTTTTCTAAAATTTCAATAATAATATTTATTCAAGTATAGAATACTAAAATAAAGGGGACCTTTTAAAGCAGTGTAGCCATAAACATGACATTACGTGACCATGCCTCTTAGTGACAGAACTTCCAACAATCCTGGCTGCTGCTGTTAAATGAGGATTCAAAGGTCATTAAGCAAGGATTTCTTGCTAGCTTCCCCATTGACTCTGCTTGGAAGAAGCCAATAGGAAATGCTGAATATTGTGGTTACATGACTGCAGGTTGTTGTAAGTTATATCCTATTTTTGAAACAGGTGATGAATTTTTGATCACTGTAGAGATGCTGTAACAACTGGAACTCTGAGGACTGGTCATAACCACCAGTCGTTCATGCTACTGCAAATTTAAATGGTCACTAAACAAGAGGTCATTAAATGACCACCTAAAAAAATGCAACACTTATTACAAAATATGTTTTGTCAATCGATGAGTCCCAAGCTCTATCTCAAACGTAAACTACTTTAGGACACTCACAAAATTCCATCCTGTCTTCATACCACCCACCCCTTTCCCCCCCTCCCTTTCTATTAACAGGGTAGTAAGTGCTGTTAACTAAGAGAGGAAGTTAGGTTTTCTTAGGGCATTGCCACTTTATATTCATTTGCTGACATTTATACTGCTTGGTTTTTTTGCTGATGAGTAAAGGGTTTACCAGATAAGCACTGTTCTTCTATAAAGGATAGCCCTGACCTTTTTGGGAAGCATGCTGTTAAAGAAGTTTTTAAAAGTGTATTAATATTTATTTAAAATGTTGGTTATTGGAAAACAAGAACATGTTTATTTTCATAGTTCAAAAAAAAAATTGATTTAACCATACCTGTTTCAGATGGTTTGTTAGTGTTTTTAACTCCATTTCTTTGCTTCTCAACATCAATTCAAGCTGTTGTTTTTCTTCCATCTGCATACAGTACTGCTCATCTTTCTTCCTTAACTGTTCTTGATTTTTCTCATGTAGTATATCAGCTCCCATTCTTTTTTCTTCCTCTTGTTTCAGACAAAATCTGGAATACATGAGTAAATGTTTAGAACAGATTTGTGCAATACATGAAAAGCAAGGAAATGTATGTGTACAGTGGAACTAAGCTTTGCTTACTTGCTCTGGTTCCAGTATTTACACTGAATTAGCAAGTTAACAAGTGTGTGTGTGTGTGTGTGTGTGTGTGTGTGTGCGCGTCCACGTGTCTGAAGTTTTAGAAATTGAAATCAACAGTTACATTGAAGACTTTTAGTAATCTTCATACAAAAGTCTTAACAACTGGCTATGTTTAGTATAGCACCCAATTTATCTCTAAGATTTTTTGGATATAGATATCTTGATCTGCTTGTTAATCATGCACTGTTAGGTTTTCCTGAAAAAGGAAGAATGCGCAGATATTCTGGGCTTATTTGCAACAGCTTTTTTCTCAGACTATAGGAAGTCTAATATGCTAGTCATACATATAAAACACACAACACCCGAAAACATTTGATAGTCCAATTATGACAAAATAGTTTAAATCTAGTGAATCAAATATTTTATTCAAATAATATCAAATAATCTGCCATTTAATTTCCAATTGATACATTTCTCATTAAAAAATTTGAATCTTCTTTTTATTTCAGACAATATTGCATGGTTTAACAACCAACATTAAGAGTTGCCTTGTGGTGAGATGGGCAGCAAACAAGTTTAATAGATAATAATAAACAATAAATAATTTATTCAATTTACTATTGTTTCTTTAAATAAAAAAAACACTGTTGGAGAAATTATACCAAAATCAATTATTTATTTAAAAGTTCTTACTTCAGATTGGTGATTTCACTTTCATATTGTACTTTTTGATGATCCAATATAGATTTCATATCTTTCAAGTCTTCCAGATTTTTTTGCCATTCATTCCTCTGATTTTCAAATTTTTTTACTTTTTCAAGCAATTGAGTATAACGCCCCTTCTCATGTTCAATTAGTCGTTCATATCCATGAAATATATTCTGAACTTTCAAGAGATTTACAGAATCTGCTTTGGAAAAAAAAGTATGCGTTAACATTACTTATTCAATGTGATATTTGATTGAAAAGAAGAATGGAAGACACACACCATCTTCTACAAAAATACTCAAATGTTTTCCTTAATGGCAGCTAAGAAATAATCAATGGCTCAGTCATAAAGAAAGAAGCGGAATCCAATAAGTTTTTAAAAATACATGGGCAAGTTTACTTAGCTTTAGGATAAACTTACTAAAAAGGATTATGATCTCTGTGGGGGAATCATGAGCAAATTTTGAGATGGACTGTCAAATTTTGGGGGTGGAAAGGATGTGACACGAAGAACAAGAAGTTTGAAGAGCTCCAACTCCTGCGGAAGGCAAGAAGGAAATAACTAATGGCTGGAAATGATCAGGCATTGATAATAGGGTCCCTCACAGCCAGAAAAAAGCAAGCAAACCACCAACTTTATCACCCTTAATAGACCATAGTAGAAACATTACACTTGCTTGGTCACTTCTGCTGCCACAATGACAGTGGAAGTGTAATATAGGCCATTGTCAGAAATCATCACATACTCATTCTGCAATGCATGAAACATTGTAAGCAGCCCCCTCATGTTGTCTTCTTCCATCTCTACTACTCTCCCGGTCTTTCTGTCTCTAAATAGTCAAACTGCAGGATTCTTCAGTTACTCGGCAAGATCCCAAAGTTGACAAAGCCACCTTTTTACAATAGCAAAGGGTATCCAAATCCTGCTTCAGGAATTCCTTGCAGCTCAAGAGCACAGGATGAAAAGAAGCTCCATATTCCAACTTCCAGAGTTGCATATCTTCCTTGGACCACTTTCCCTCTGGTCTAACTATTTGAATGTGTAAGTATTTGTAATCAATAAAGTATAACTGAGGAAACATTGTGGCTTCACTTTTTAAAAATATTTTTTGCATTACAATTTAATTTTTTAAAAAAGACACACAAATATCTATTCATATTAATATTTTTTTTAAATTCAAGCAGAGTATATTAGCTTTGTTCTTTAAGTTAAATTACTTATATTACATCGCAGTAATGTAATTACTGTAATTATATCACAATATAGTCCTTATATTTATCTGTAAAGAAAAAACTACGGAAGGAAAAAGCCAGTAGCACTAAAAGACTTTCTCCAACACTCGTTGGCTTACTTTAGCAAGCTGGCAAATGGGGGCAAGTTGGCAACTGGATCACTTAATTTGTGACCTTGTCAGATAATATAACAACGTTCTTCCAGGTGAAGGGCTACTAGCGATGCACTGCCAGAACACCTATCACAACTCTACTTCCTCCATTTCAAAGGGATTCTTTTTTCAAATCTACTACTGACAGTGCTGTATCTTTCCGCCAGCAGGCCTGAGATTAGGGGTAAGGAAAATATTTCTTGGCAATATTACACAGAAAAAAGTTTCGGTAAAATCTCTTTTATCAGCCACAAACTGGAGAAAAGGCAAGCTACACAAAATTGTATTTGTGCCATTTTACACAATTGCGATCTTAATATCAATTGCTTTGCCTCAGACAAAGCCAAGCTTCTTTCGGACCGTGTAATGTTGAGGCAATCTGGCATTTTGTGGAAGTATATCTTGTCAGAGAATTCCAGAATGATTTTTCTCACATTAATGCCTTCTGCACATCCCACGGATTAGGGCAGCAGCTCTAATTATATTTTTAGCATGCATTTAAAAATAACCAGTTGTCTAATGTTTTGCTTTAGTGTCTGCTATATTAATTGCCATTGGGCAGTAGTTTCCAAATTACAACACAATCCCAGTTTTAATAAGTCAAATTATCAATTAATTTGTGAAAAATGTTCTTAAAGTATAGCTACATTGTATTTTCTGACCATATGTGAACATATACCTCTAAAGGCCGACTGCATTCTGTTTGAAAACATCATTCTTCAGCTCACACTAAATCAAAGCCTGCTCAACTCATGTCCTAAATCAGAATTATTCATGACCTTCTCTTATTAACTAATATGCACACATTGTGGTAACTTTTAAAAGCTTGTACAGAATCCACTGGCATGAAAAGATTAAGGATTCAATTTTAGAGAAGTATATATGGGAATTGTAAGTTAAACTACCAAATATTAGATAGATATTTAATAAGGAATGTGGTCTTAGCATTTTAATATTTTATTATTCGATGATTTTAGATACTACGGATAAGTTCTTGCTTTTGTTTTTGATTGATCTGCTAAAATTGATGAAGATAAATTCAAGAGTTTTCTAATTACAGTTCTTTAAACCTTTTTAAAAGGGGGATTCCTATTAACATAATTAGATGGTAATTGATGGTATTACATCCCTTCAAGGAACTACAATACCTACTACTATTTTCAATATCCTCTTAGATATGGCGATTCTCAGCTGCTTTTTCAAGAGGCAACTGGACTTTCTTATTTTTTCTTTTGATAGTTGAAAACTATTTCTTTTTGCTACTGAAAATGATGACTGACTGCAACTGTAGTCTAAATGAACATTTAAATTCCAAAATGGGCTCTACAACACTTATTATTTTCAAACAGTACAGCCAATAGTCATGCTGGCTAAGAATGCTGGGATTTTTATTTGATTGGTTGACTCTTTTTCATTATATATCTGAAAGATGAGACAAAAACCTTGATTTAAAAAAAGCGATTATCAAAGAAACACCATCTATTCATAAGAAAACATTTATGCTTGACAACTACAAATGTGCTCACCTTTACAATCTAAACTAAGTTCTTCTATCAGCACTATAGCTTCCTTGTAAATGGAAGAAAGTGACTCAATATCCTCGGTAGTTGAATCTGAAGATGGAGTTAAGTCATCCAGATCATTAGTAATACTCAATGTTCTATAAAGCTATAAATGAAACAAGTAGAATTAAACATAATTATATTCTAAATCAAAATGTCCTTCATTTCTCTTTTATTCACTTTTAATTCTACTAAAAAAAAATTACAAATGGAAATTGACTTAATTAGATGCTACATCAAATCATGATTTTCAGATAGCTCACAAAGTAGTAGTTGCAATAAATCCACTTAATATGAAGAGTTACGACGACCTCTGTATCACAATCGGGAGACATGAACCCACCAATATCTCATTCTGCACAAAGGATTATACTTTTAATTGTAAATTATTATTTAAATCATAGATACTGAAGTATACAAAGCTATTCATATATATTGTTTTCTGTGGAAGTTTCCATATTTGAGCTATGTGCTTATGCATCTTAAATTGTGTTTGACTATTCTGCTTTGATAGTGAAATGGTATCATGTGGTACAGTTACCATGTCAATGGCTGTGTCCAGCTTTCTAATCAGCAATTTTCAGACAGATAGTCCTTGACATAGAACCATTCATTTAGTGACCATTCGAAGTTATTGACAACACTGAAAAAAATGGGAATTACACTTACATCGACTGCAGTACCCTCATCATCATGGGATCAGAGTTGGCGACCAGCATGTATTTATGAGGAGCAGTGTCTGGGGTCATGTGATCACAATCTGAGACCTTCCCAGAGGACTTTCAACAGTCAATGGTTGGTTGTCAGCTGGTTCGTTTAACTAGTGTATGACTGCATCCCTTAATGATGTAAGTTCTGATCCCAACTATGGTTGACAATCAAAGTTTGATAGGTACATCTCTGTTTTTTCAAGTGGTGTCAGTTGCAGAGCTTCCCCAAGGCATCAATTTCTGCTGAAGCCTCACTGATCTATAATTCTTTATTTCTGCATAATTATTACCAAAATATGTTCTCTAATTCCGTAACTTGCTCCCTAGTTCAAACTTTTAATTTTAAATCTGTGAGCAGCAACATGTAGGGAAATAAACAATTGTTTCTGTTTTTCAAAATCTTTCATTTCCTCTCAAAACTTTATGCTTCTTCATTCTTCATTAACTGCTTGCATTCAATGACATATAAGCACCATAAGGTTGCATACGATGCTCAAAAGAACTCTGTCCAAGGCTCAGGACTATAACAAAAAAACAACAACACTAGTTTCAATCCTGGCCCGCAGCTAGCAAACTGGAGCATTTTGAAATCACTATTACAAGAAATTAATAGATTTGATTTCTGATGATACCTAAATTTAAATCAGGAGACATATGAATGTTGCATGTTTTGGGGGTACCTATCTTTATCAAAAGACAATATCACCCTGATTGCCCAAAGACAGAAGTCACTTTTTTAAAAATAATTGAAGAATATTTTAAATCAATTCTGCTATTAATTCTATTGCACTTTAGTTTTGTGAATCAGATTGATAATCTGTTACAAATATTTACCAATAAAAATTAGGAATGAGGCAGAGATTGTGGTAGATAGTTTAGAGGGATAAAGTTGGCTTATTTAAAAGAAACTAGTGAGAATTTATTTCGTAATTCTATTTTTAGATTTTTTTAGTGTTGTGACAGTGGCGGTACAACAAACCTTAGCTTACTGATCTTCAATTTGTAATTAATCAAACTATATAGTCCATAGTTTTGGGAAGTAGTTTATGAGCATATTGAGAACTCACGATTTATCTATCTTACCAAAGCACTGCTAAAAATCTTAGTATGTAAAGTCAAACCCAAAGTGGCCTATTGCTTTTCACTTAAAGCTTTACAAATATGAGTTAAAATAAATTGATGGCAACATTTTGCAAGCTTGTTTTATCCTACCTTATTTTTTCTATTCACAGATTTGGCTGGATATCTGAAAATAAGTAAAAAAAAAAAAAACTATATTAAGATTTTAATTATTTTTAGCCTGAAATTCTGAAAATTTAGAATTGCTAATCCTAGACCATCCATTCTGAATCTAATGAGCTTAACGGTGCAGCAGAAGTGCAGCCTAAATATCTATGAATCTCAATGGATCTTCACACTATATCGAGCAAACTTCCAGCATGATTCCTTTAAGAAATAAATTGGTCCGTTTTCTCTTTTTGAAATTCTTTGCATCTTACGTACGATGTAGGCTTCTGTTAGGATCATAAAGTTGATAGGCAAGTTTGGGAGCATAGTTACTGTTCAGGGGCACATAAGAATGCACCTCGACAGTGCATTCTCATGCAATTTTAATAAGTTTTGGCTAGGAGTATCACTGGTCTAAGTCCAAATAAGACTGAATTTTACATTAATTCTAAGAAAAGACCCCCATACCTTTCTTCAAGTGATGCTTCACTCAAACTGCTCTCATCTTGTGGCTCATGTAGATTATTACAAAACTGTTGATTGACCTTCTGTTTAGAAGTCCGTCTTTTATTTTCACTTTTTCTTGTAGTTTTTAAGCTGCAGGATTTTTTTTTTTAAATAAAAAAATAATAATTGAACACCACTTTAAAAATAATTTTATTTGTGAAAAAAAGTTAAAATATAAAAATAAAACAAAGACATATTACTAAGAATCAATGAATGGCAAAAATGTATAATCTCTGACAGCATACTGGATTTAGGAATTCAAAGTTATATGAATAAAGTGTTAATTGTTATCAATGTAATGATATATAGTTGTGTGCATCTGGGGAAAATTTGAAATGAAGCCCCAAAGCTTCTATCATAATGTTTCTCAGTGAATCGAAGGAATTTTGGTCCTTACTTGTGCTAAAACTGAAATATTTCTGTATCAGTACATGAATACCATATTTAAAATCAAGTAAAAGTCCTGAAGGTCAAATAATAATTATTTTATTAATAGATTTTTATCCCATTTATATACATTTTAAACTCAAGGTAGCAAACATACGTGATATACCTGTATCCTAATTTCCCCACAACAGTAACCCTGTGAAGTGGATTAGGCTGAGAAAGAATGACTGATTTTAGCTATTCTGATAGCAGAGAGGCAGGATAGGTTTATTACATTTGCTCCCACTAGTAGTTTATCAGCGACGTATTTTCAGTCAGACAAAAGATAATTATTTTGATGCACTATGATTTCTATTTTTGTTATTTATATTTATTTTAAAAATATAAAATATTGCACTTGATTGATCCTGGCTGACCTCAAAAGCTAAGGAGAATAGACCCCAGTTAATGCTTGGATGGGAAAATGCCTAGGAATCCAAGCGCTGCTAGCTATGTCAAGTTAAACAAAAATCCTATCAAGTATCAATGATGAACAGTACAAAGAAAATTGTGCAGAAACAGTGACAGGAATCAAACCTATGCTGAGGTTGTCTTCACCTTTATTTTAATTATTACTTAAAATTTGAAGAAAGACTATAACTTAATGATGGATGAAAAAGACTGGAAGCAAAAGATCTCGGTTTTAGTCATGACACTATGTCTTGTTTAGTCATGACTAAAGAAAAGGTTTGGGACAATATATTAAATAATCTTATTTCCTGTCTGTAGAACATTTAAGGCAACTTCTTATTTTTGCAATTCTTACCTGAAAAAACAATGATTTTAAACAATGATCATCCAGTTAAACTAATGCCTAGTGTGAAGATAATTATCTAGGCTTTGGTTACGTTTATAATATTATATGCCTTAAGTAAATTAAAAACAACACAATAAAGTTTAAAAGGAAGTTATTACATTGCAACACTGCATAAAAATTAGTCAAATCAGTTTATTTAATAGCATCAACTTAATGTTATTGCTATACTCACCCTGGACAAATTATTTCCTTTTTATCTTCTGGGAAAACACTTTTTATTGTAGTATGCTGGATTTCACTTATTGAATGCTTTTGCTCTATCTTCTCATCATTATTCACAGCCAACATTTCAGTATTAGCAAATTTTTTTCCTTCAGTTTCCAATTCCTTTTTTATTTTTTCCTCTTCAATCTAAAACAGTGATATATTGAAACATAGCTTTTAAGAACCACAATAAAAATATGAGTAACATTTTTGCTTTATAACAGATTTTTGCTTAATATTTCAGAACAGCTCTAGAAAAGAATCACTCAACACTATGATTACAAATTAATAATTAGTATTGTCTAATCAGAAATAATGGAAAAATCATATATATTAGTGATAGGAAAAATGCATTAGAAACACACATTTTTATTAAAAACAGAACAGATATTGTTTTAAAAGGTGATCAACAACATCGTACTACAGATGTAGTATAAGATAGAAATGTTTCACACAGAGCAAAAAAGTGTTAAGCAAGCATGATAAGAAATGGAAAGATCAATTAAGAACCTGTTCAAAAGCCAGTTTCACATCTCGGATCAAATTTATAATTAGTATAACAGTGGTGCAGTTCATTTGTTAATGAAGTAGCACCTATGTAAACTGAGCTTTTTGAGTCTTTGTTATGATAGTTGTATCATACTTCGATTTCTGAATGTTCTTAAAATAAAAAGGGAAATCATGAAAAAGGTGCCATTTCTTCCCATATTCACATTAGAATTACTATGTGAAGCCAACGCATAAATGCTTTTTCCACATAGTGCTGAAGAGCTGAAATGAACAGAATGGCTGAAATGCAAGAAAGATGGAAGAATGAAAAGCAGCCGGTACTTCTCTACCTCTTTTTGCAGTTGGTTCTTTTCTTTCTCCAAAGCGAGGAAAGCCGAATGCAGTATTCCTACCTGATTTTTAAATCTTGCAACATCACCTTCTAATTCTTCATCCAGATCTTTTTTGGATATTGGAGGACATACTTGTTTATGATTTTTCATTTTATTTCCAATGTCAGTATCAGTACCTTTGGAACTATCGATACTGTTATTAAAATGGTACTCAGTTTCTCCACTTGGATTTTTTGTAACACTAATATATTTATATAAGTTGTTGGGGGTAATTGGTTGATTAGCATCTAGAGTATCTTTGGTAATGTCTCCATGACTTTGCAATGAATATTCAAGGCATTTTTCTGCAGTTCTAGTTCCACCTACATTTGCTTTCAGTTGTATAATTGAATTGTTACTCCTTTCTTCACTGATGTTTACTTTTGTTCCATTTGCATTATTAGACAGTGGGTTCTTGTTCCAGTCATCGGTATTTAATTCTCTTTCTGCAACAACAGATCTTGTATCTTTAATGTCATCCTTTCCTTGAATATCCACTTTTATGTTTTGTAGGTGAAGTGATGTTTCTTTTATGCCTTCTACGGCACCGCAGAAGCCATCTTGTGATGTTACTTTGCTTGGAATGCTACTCATTTTCTCATAAACTTTAATTTCACCAAACATCTGTTTTAGTTCTGCTGTAATACTCTTAAAATTTGCCTTGACTTCCTTTTTTTCATTTGCAACCCACATTTTTTCGTATTTTTCTTCCCAGTGTATTGAATCAAAATGATTGCAGTCATTATGTGCTTCTCTGCTATGCATGAGTGCTTCAGTTACATTTTCATTATCAGCATACTCAATTTCAGTCTTGTCAGTCTGTTTTTCATGTGCTGATTTTTCTACAGAGCTGGATGTGTTTAACAGGCATTTTTCCTTATGCAAGCAAGTATGGATAGAGAAAAATTAACAAAGAAAAACCAGTGTGTTAAATTGTGTTTCAAATGTCATAAAGGGTTTGATTTTGAGAGTACTTTAAGAGGAACAAGGAGTATTTTTCAATTATATATATTTTTATTAAATATATAATTTAAATGTTTGGAGAATAATTTCATGGCAGTACAGTACAATATAGCATAATTAAACTTAAAATAGCTTTCCTTTTTTGTCATAGCAAATTAATAGCTTATCAATTCTATCTAGCAGTGTCCCTCTAATTGAGCAGTTGGAAAAAAGCAGTCAGATTCTCCACTATCTATGAAGCTCATAATCTTAAAATCAATAAGCATTCTACATATCTGGCATCCTCTTCAGGACAGGAGTGTCCAATAACATGTAGCCTCTTCTCAATTCAGTCAATATCTTACTGACAGCACTCCAAAATTGAACACAATCCTGTGCAAAATGTCTAGAAGTGGTACCAATTGCTAGAACTTTATGAAAGTCATATTTTGCAACTGCTGAACATATTTCTCTTGGAAATTTTATTAAATTTATGTTTGAATGTTATTTTGATATGACCTATCAATTACCTGTTATTAACTCTTGCCAGAGTACAACAAAACCATTATCGCCAACATAGACTATAAATACCAAGCATAACCATGTATCAGAATCAGCATTACTGATTAAAAGGACCATAATCCTACCAAATTTTTAAATAAAGATGCAAATAAAAATTCTAATTTGAGACTGAATAAGATACAACACATCTTACCCCATCTGAGATGGGGTAAGAAGGTATTCCAGAGAATGGGTGACCAAAAAAATTTTTTTTTTAAAAGCTTATATCAAATTAATGTCCACAGTAGTGACACAATCAAGTAGGAGCAATGACGGTTGTATATGCCAGGCAGGTCTTTGTGACAGAAAATTTTCTCTCAAGTACCAGCCTCAAGTATCAATGCACTAAGTTACTTAAATTCTTGAATTTCAAATGTGGTATCAAATTGATACCTACAGTGCACTTCTTTCAGCAGCGCTGTTATACAGCCCAACAAAGCACAACTCAATCTAATATAATTTCATAGTACTGTATTGCTAAAAACCTTATAAGATGCCAATTTCACAATTCCGTTTGTTCTGCTGCTGGAGGAATTTTCGATTCGAGTTGCACAGAAAAATAACCCCATAGAAACAGCTCTAGTGGAAACACGTCAAATTTAATCTGCAAGCTAAAGTCTGCCTGGTTTAAGTAGGGTAGTTTTTTAGGACAAGTAACTAACAGGGTCTCTCCAGGAACCTCTTTATGAATAAAACTCCCAGAGGTATCTGTTAGCTCAAGAATAGGTATATATAATTAAAAACAATTTATTGGTTCTAACAGTTTCTATAGTTTCCAAGCAGGTAACATTTCATCAGAGTCTTTCCTAATTTGAATACATTTCAGATGTATAAACTTCCACTCTCAGACTTGTCGCAAAATTCCCCATTGCTGAGGAGTCCATGAATTTGGAATACTAAGAATGAGGAAGGCCACCTATCATGACAAGAAGGAATCTTTAATATTAAAATTGGGTGTGGACAGACAAAGGACAGGAGTAACATCTTATACTTATTTGTATAATAAATGTGATTCATCTGTTTTTATATAATGAATCGTAGATTGGGAAAACATATTAGAATAAGAAAATTAAAACTGTGTGCTTTGGTGACAAGATGTATGTATATAAGAAAGTAGTATGTCTTGATGGTTTAATTTACAGGGAATCATATAAATAAAGGTTAACACTCTATTACTTTATCTCTAAATTTAATTACTGTACAGAAGCAGACACCCCTTCCAATACCATTTTTGTCCCAAAAGCAGAACTTTTAGTTTTTCCTTTACATATACATCAAAGGTTCCATAATCCACAGCTACAGAATAAAGAAATGATATGGGATTAATATTCTTTCATTTCATTTTAATGATAACTAGAATTAAACGTGTCTTTTGTTTCAGAAATGTTAAAATTTGTTTCAGCCACATAATACAAAGAAATATCAATATTTAAATAAACTTTGCATACATACCTTGCTTTTACTTTTAAATTCTTTTATGGTTTTGTGTTCAATATATTGCTGCCCTATAATAAAATGTCGAATAACATACTTGTAATTATTATAATTTTTTAGTTGATTTGCACTCTGAAAACCTTTCCAACATATGTTTGACTTTTAATGAGGTTGTATATAGATAAACATTGTGTCACAGTTAAATAAAAAATTACCAGTGTAGCAAATGGACCCAGCATATAAAGAATACAGTTCTTTATTTACAACTCAATGGTGTATATCTGCTAATTTCCTACTCAAATTTGTTTGTTTCATGAAGCTTTAAAAATACAGAGATGGATTAACTTTTGGCATGTGTCTAAAATCTAGTACAACTTATTTTTGCCTAATTCTGCAGCTCTATGCTGTCCTCATATACCTTCAGTAGATGGTATATATTCATAAGATATGAGTAGCTTCTTATATTCAGTGCTTTCAGAAAGTATTCAGACCCCCTTCACTTTTATCAATTTTGTTATGCTGCAGCCTGATTCTAGTTGTTGAAATTCATTTTTTATCATTAATCTACATTCAGTACCCCATATAAAGACAAGTGAAAACAGAATTTTAGAAATGCCTGTAAATTTATTAAAAAGAAAAAAAACTGAAATATCACATTGGCATTAGTATTCAGATCCTTTGCAACAACGATGAAACACATTAGCTCTGGTGCCTCTCATTATTTCTCTCGATCGTCGCTGACATGTTTCTATACTTTGACTGGAGTCGACGGTGGTAAATTAAATTGATTGGACGTGATTTGGAAAGGCACACCCCTCTCTATTAAAGGCCTCACAGCTGACAAAGCATACTATAGCAGAGCAAAACCAGGAGGTCAAAGGAACTGCCTGCAGAGCTCAGAGACAGGCTTCTTGCAAGGCACAGATCTGGGGAAGGCTACAATAAAATTTCTACTGCACTGAAGATTCCTAAGAGCACAATGGCCTCCATCATTCTTAAATGAAAGACGTCTGGCACAACCAGGACTCTTCCAAGAGCTGGTTTCCTGGTCAAACTGAGCAATTGGGAGATAAGAGCCTTAGTAAGAGAAGTGACCATGAACCCGATGGTTACTCTGACTGAGCTCCAGAGATCCTATGTGGAGATGGACAGAGCTTCCAGAAGGACAGCCATCACTGCAGCCCTCCACCAATCTGGGCCTTATAACAGAGTGGCTAGACAGAAGCCTCTCAGTGCAAAACTCACTTGGAGTTTGCAAAAAAGCACCTGAAGAGCATTCGGACTGTGAGGAACAAGATTCTCTGGTCTGATTAAAACCAAGACTGAATTCTAAACGTTATGTCTGCAAGAAACCAGGCACCGCTCATCACCTGTCCAATACCATCCCAACAGCGAAGCATGGTTAGCATCAGGCTGTGGGGGTGTTTTTCAGCAGCAGGGACTGGGAGACTGGACATGGCTGAGGGAAAGCTGAATGGAGCAAAATACAGGGATATCCTCAAAGAAAACCTGTTCCACAGTGCTCAGGACCTCAGACTGGGCCAAAGCTTCACTTTCTAACAGGACCATGATCCTAAGCGCTCAGGCAAAACACAGGAATCACTTAGGGATAACTCTGTGAATGTCCTGGAGTGGCCCAGCCAGAGCCCTGACTTGAACCTATTGAGCGTCTCTGGAAGGACCTGAAAATGGCTGTCCTCCGACGGTCACCATCCAACCTGAATAAGCTTGAGAGGGTTTACAAGGAAGAATGGTAGAAAATCCCCCAATTCAGGTATACAAAGCGAGTTGTGTCATACCCAAAAAGACTAGAGGCTATAATTGCTGCCAAAAGTGCTTCAACAAAATACCGAGTGAAGGATCTGAATGCTTATGCCGGGGGTCTGTAACCTTAAACAATCAAAGAGCCATTTGGACCTGTTTCCCACAGAAAACACTGGGAGCCACAAAACCTGGCCGGGCGTGGCCAATTTAATGTCACTCCCACCCAGGCACATGACACCCCCCCACCCCCAGCTACGCCTATCCAGGTTTCATGGCTCTCGGTGTTTTCTGTGGGAAATGGGTCTCTCTCCCTCTCTCTTCTTTCCATCCCTTTCCCTCCTTTTTTTCTTTCTTTCTCATTGAATACGACAGCAAATTCAAAATAACATTATTAATTGTGGGAAATTGCTTCTCTGTAATCTTTTCATTGTGAACTCTAAGTTGGTAGAAGCTGGCAAGATTGTACTAACAGCAACAGCATATCTATTTTGATTTCTTTTGAGTTTGACAATATAATACATTAACCAAAATTATAAATAATCTTATTTTCAGATGCAGTTTTTGCCATCTCTGTTATTTCCTTAAAAAAAAATCAGATTTGCTTCCAATTTGTGCCTTCTGACAAATCGCAGTTTTCTTGGCACAAGATCTAGCTTGCCATTACTTTCGTCATAAGTTGGGGAGAGTTCGGTTTTTTTTTTCTTTCTTTCTTTCTTTCTTTCTTTCTTTCTTTCTTTCTTTCTTTCTTTCTTTCTTTCTTTCTTTCTCTCTCTTTCTTTCCTTCCTTTTTTCTTTTGTTCTTTTTCTCCCTTTCTCCCTCTCTCTTCCTCAATTGTTTCTCTCTCTTTTTCCTCTCTCTCATTCTCTCCATCATTTTCTCATTTCTCTCTTCCTCTTTTTTCTGCCCTTTTCTTTCTCTCATCTCTTTCTCTCACACACACGCACAAGAGAAATACCCTCCTGGGCCAGGATCACGGTGGCGGTGGGGATAGGGACTCCTCCCCCGCTGCCGCCACTGCGCAGTGAGGGTGAGTAGTGGGCTGCGTAGCGCAGCGCAGGAGAGCCACGCTGCACAGGAGAGCTGGAGCTCTTCCCTTCCTGCATCTGGCAACGGCGGCTGCTGCTCCTCCCTATTCCGCTTCTCCCCGAGCCAACATGAAGGGGACCACGGCTGTCGCTGAGCTGCCTGCGAAGGACGTGAAATTGCAAAAAGTAGCCAGTCGCAGCCAGTGCAGAGAAAATGCTAGGGGCGTTTCAGCCGTGCGGCCCTGCAGAGACACTCACGCCTTCTCAGTGTGGAGAGATCGCGCAACCGGGTCGGCAGGGTGCCACAGGAGGGGTCAAAGAGCCACATGTGGCTCTCAGGCTATGGGTTGCACCAAGGCTAAGAGCCTTGGTGGTACAGTGGTTAGAGTACAGTACTGCAAGAACCCAAAATAGCTTTTTGTGGGAGCGTGCTATAGAAAACAGAAAGGTATATTCTTGGGCAAAAATTCCCAAATTTTTGGGGTGACCTTACTGGAGGAAGCGTCTTCCAGTAACATACGCCAAATCTGACTCGTACATCTGAAAAAAAAAATTGGAGGATCTGCAGAGGTAATCACTTGATTTGGAAAGCAGCTTCAAAGGAACCTACACTTAAACTTTTACTGAAATTATTTCAAATATAAATATTTTGCCACTAGATTTTAGCTCTGCAATTTGGTAGGTGCTGAGTTATCCACTCTGGAATGAAGAAAACAAATGACTGGATCCACTGTAGAATTCTACCTAGGAAAGGACACACTACTTCATCTGTTTTCCTTCCAGCTACTACTGCCTGATGATTTATTAATGGAATATAAAAAGGAAAAATAAGCAAAATGTCATCCTATATCTGTAGCCAATGGGAGGCTTTATTAGATTTCAATTTTCTCTAGGAAGGAATTTTTTTCTACAGAAAAAGAAAAAAAACCTTGCCTTTTAATTAACAAAGCTGTATAGTAAACGATCATTCTGAGTCACATCAGGATGTCAGGATGTTTCCAGCAGAAGAGTGGAAGAAAAACAATGAATTATTTGTTTCGGATTAGGATTATCTAAATTGGGATCAGAATTATTCTCCCTCCTCCTGCAGAAAACTTTGATTTTATTAAAAATGACAGCAACTACCTTTTGAAGACATTATGTTTTGAGTATCTGAGTCTTCCTTCACAGGCATGGAGATTTCAGGTGTAACATTTGTTTCTAGCAATCGTTGTGGAGATACATTATCTTCCAACATAAAGGTGTCAGCTGGTTTAACACATGGAGTGCTTTTAAGAGAAATACTGGTAGAATCCCAGTCAGATGGATCTAACAACAAACAAATATTTAAAAAAGATCAAAGCAGTAAATACAACATACAATACTTTACCAAATGTTAACCCAATGTATTTTGAAATAAAGTAATATAAAGATCTATGAAGTTGCCAATATTAACAACAAAAAAGTCTATGGGTGAAGCATAGTATCAGTATATTCAAAATACTGATAGATACTGGAAAATATTTAGATTTAACCATTATATTTATTTATGCATATCCCAGATGAAAAGAATCCAATCTTCTAAGGTTTAACAGAAAATTACATGTAGTTTATCTTTTTTAAGAGGATACAACATTTAGTTTCATAAGCAAAATTTAATTTTAATTTTTTTTGCATAACATGGCAAAATCTGATGTTCTAAAAAACTTTCTAATGTATGATACATAAATACGAATAAAGTATTTAAAGACCTTCAATATCATCTGCTTCATCCAAACCAAGTTCTTCCATTAAATCTAAAAGAAGAAATTAATGACATTAGAATATAAAATATGCAATAATACATATGATATATTTTAAGCTCCATATAATATAGTTACCTGATTTTTGCTTTTCTACGATTGCCTTCTTTAAAACAGCAGCTGGAGATTCACACACCAAGTTTTCTTTTGTGACCTTTTGCTATAAAGATAATTCAGCTAAGAATGAAATATGATACCACAATACAGTAATAAAAATAGTTAAATAAAGTTTACATAACAAAAGTAGTACTAACCTGCAAACTTGCTTTTCCTAGGGAAAAAAAGGGAAACAAGTTACCTAGATAATGTACTGAAACTTTTAAAGTTGTGTGAATCCCACTCTTGTATTACAGGCATAATACAATATTCATTTCTTACAAATATAACAAGCAAAACTTCCAGGGAATAAATGACAAATTAGGGCCAGCTTCCAAAAAGCAGAGCCAATAAGTGGAGCAGAATGAAGAGCTTGGCAAGTAGACTGGCTCTTTGTAAGTCCTGTCCAGACAACAAGGAGATTGTCCCTAGGTGCTTCAGACACAAGACACAAGACAAGCGGGTCTAGAGCTGTGGGAGATAAGAGAATAGTCCACTTGCTCAAACAGCAGTAAGTGCCTTTTAAAGGAACCAGGTTGACATACTTCTTTTTCTAATCACTTTCAGAAATTGCTTGCAAACTGCTTTTCAGCTATTAAGAATCTTTGGATCAACATGTTTTACAGCATCAGGTGAGTTTTTTTTTTTTTTTTTCAATTCTCAGTAAAACAAATTTTAAATATGAAGTTAAGGATTTAAGTTTTTTCTGGAATAAACAATAGAAGATTAAAATTTTGATTTTAGAAAGTTACAAATGGACTAAGGGACCAGATAAGTTTGAAATTAGACTTTTGAATTAATTATAAGAATATTTTCAATAAGCAAATGCTTTTCATTTTAAAAAAAATATTAAGGCAAAACTTCAAAATTGGATGCTAGCAGAAACTAGAAGTAACTAAAGATTATAATTAAAGAAACTTGACTTGCTGATACAGCGTGAAGCAAAATATTATCACACTAGATATATTGAAAGGTATTTCTAAACAATGGGAAAATGTTATACTGGAAATACAGAACAATGTCTGAGGTCCTAATAAAGGTAAAGGGATATACAAATAACAAACCAAGAGAGTAACCCGGATAATTTCCCAATATTGGATTTACAAGAGGGTTCTTAAAGCTTTGAAGAATTTTGTGAGAAAGGACTAAGAAAAAATGAAAATAAATCAAGTTCACTGACAATATTTGAAGGAACTAAAGATCAAGGTTGTTAGAAGCAAAAGGAATGAATATAAACGTTTTGTCAAGATTAAAATTGATATTATTTATGGTAAACATTACTAGACATCAGGAATAAAATGATTAGGCATTATATGTTTGTTTAAGGATAAGAACTAGAATATCGGAAGAACAGGTCATTTGTTATATTTTAAGAAAGGTGATAAATAACTAAAATTGTTTGTACTTGTGATAATTCAGTATATTTTTCTTTTCTTTATTCTTTTTCCTTTTCTGTTTTTCTTTTCTGTACCCTTCTTTTTATTCTTTTGTTAGATATTTCATAGGGTTATTATACATAGGGTTATTATAGGAGGAAAATATATAGGTATACATATAGGTTGTACATTAAGGCATAATTTGAATCAGGCAGACCCAGGATAAAGTTTTACTCAGTTATGGAAATATATTGCTGGCAATATATTGGCAATATATATAAATCCACCAACCCCTCCCCCCCCCCAATATCCTTTAGCCACTCAATTATATATTCCATATCTAAATGACTGAAGAACATTTAAAACATTTATATATGTTGATATAACAAAAAGAATAATTTTTGATGAATTTACCATTAAATGGTTCTTGTATAATACTGTGCATGTGTATTCCAGTTTTGGCAGGAGATGTAGGCAAAGAACTAACAGTTGGCTTCCTGGGGCTTTCTGATGTGCACTATTGGAAATACGCATATGTGAGAAACATCATACAACTATGGTCAGATACTCATTTTGTTTATCTTTATTTTTCTACAGAAAACAAAGATATTCCTGAACATATTATGAAAGCTCTTAATTACAGAGAACATAAAAGCATTTTGATTTGTAAGTTTAGTTTTTAAGAAATGGTTAATTTCAGGGGTGGGACTCAAATTTTTTAACAACCTGTTCTGTGGACGTGGCCTAATTTGCGGGTGTGGCCTGGTCATGGGACTGGGTGGGCGTGGTTTGCTAACTGGGTGTGGTTTGGTGGTCTCGTGACTGGGTGGGCGTGGCTTGTATGTAAATATTGTAAATATTTAATTTTTTATTTTAAAAAAGAGCAACTTCTACCCAAAAATCAGGCAAAGCAGGCAGGCAGGTTGAGTTGCTCGCAGAATCACAGAATCACTCAGAGATCTACCTTTCTGCAATTGGCTACCTCAGTCTGCACTGAAAAGTTGAAGGTTCAGTCCTAAGGAAGGTTTGGCAATAGCAATTTAGCAGGTAAGCTTGATGGCGGGCGTGCCAGGTAAGGAGGGAGTGGGCGGGGAGGGGAGGGGCCAGCCAGTGGTGCAGAACCATAACAAACAGTTCTATAGAACTGGTCCAACCAGATAGAATCCCACCCCTGGTTAATTTCCATTTACTTACAACTGAAATGTTTGAACAGACATTCACATTAAGGATTGGAACTGTTCCCATTTTAATTTACTAGAGTAGGAAAGTTAGCTGGAAATAAAGTGATTAAAAAAACATTCACAACATCTGATCTGTGCAACGCACTACATTTCAAATCTCCTTTTTGAAGTACCTCACACCTATTTCAACTAAGAATGCATCCCAGAATGAGTTGGTTAAAACTCAGGTCCAAAAGCAAAGTGAAATACTAGTATTTCAAAATCGTCAGTATCAGTTATCATTATTCTCATGTGCCATATAAGAGAAGCCACTTGAATCTCATACAAGAAAAACATTTTATTAAACACAAAAATATTTATAACTGAAATAGCCTTTAAGTATAAAGACAATTTCATAATGCAAAACTATAGAGGAAGCCTTCAATAATAACGAATTTCCAACTGTGGACCCTATATTATATTAATTTATATTTCATATAATTAGAAAATTACTCCTTTATTTAATTCTATGGGCAGGATATTCAACTAAGCAATATTAAACACCATTGATAATTTCTATGACCACAGTTGTACTGGACAGTTTCAATTCACTTCAGCAAAGAAATGTCATGGAGGTGACAAAGAGATTATGGCGGTGGCACAGAGACCTACAAGATCCCTTCCAACCCTGTTAATCTGTCTCAATGAGGCACTTTAAGCTGATTTGTCTAAACCAACCAGCGCTTGCAGGAAACTGAAGTAATAAATTCACTTTGCTTTTAGTAACAAGGGTGCTATGGGGCTATGCATGCAGGTTTAAGGGGATACTTTACTCAAATCTTCATTGAAGTAAAGAACTTCACTTCACTTTGATATTAATAATCAAATGTATAGCTACAGCATGTCTATGTCCCTTATTTTTTTAAAAAATTGCTAATTTCTCATTACCTATGCTAAATTATGTTTTTTTATGATTATTATTAGATTTGTATCTCTTTCTGTTGAGACAGAGAGGTCAATGACATAGAAAATATTATCTATATAATATATAACATTATCTATATAGACAGATGAATTCCTAGAATTCTGTATACAAATACGTGGTTTGATATTAAAAATATTTTTCCTGAGAAAATATTTTTGTCATTGGCCACTTTAATACAAAATGAGTAAAGCTTATAAGTAATTTTGTGGAAAATAACTCAAATTAAATGCCTTGGAGCTTCAAACAATTATTCTGATTTAGTAAGAAATGTTCTGTGCTTAGCAAGTTATAGTAACTACATATTCATAGACACTAGAAAGTAAAACTGATTAATACAAGAAATAATAAATCAAAACAGATTTTAAAATGGAAGTATTTCTTTGAACTCAGAGCACAGAAAATTTTAAAACCTACTTCTGAATCCCATGGAGATTCTGTATACTTCTCTTCATCTTTGTCCTCGCCCAAAGCTGATTTAGCTATAAAATAAAATAGTAATTTTTTTACAAAATACTCAGTGTTCATTATTCAAAAACTGAGATTGTGGCAATTCAAATTAAATAACAATACTTTTCATAGCTGCATTCTGCCATTAGCTATGTACACTACTTTTATTGAAATATTGCTAAGGAGCCAAAGCAAAATTAATTGAATCTTCTTGGTCAGCCCGCAAATTAAAAAAAGTTGTTTTCAGAAAAGAAAACAACCCCCTCCTTACACAGATTTTCAGAAACAAGAAGTTTTTAAACACAGAGCGTGAAAACTGAAATATAATACTCTAAAGAACAAGAGTATCCCAACAGATGTCCAGTTCATAATAAATCACTTATTTACAAATAGCCTATTTCCAGAAACAATTTTGTTTATATATTTTAATCTTATAATATTAAACTATATTAAAATTCATGGCAATAACCAATTAATTATTGGTTTCATGAATTTTAGTTATTAAACTATTAGCTTAATGAAGCCGTAATGCACAAATATGAGAAGTGACTTTATTATTGCTAATTTGCACGTGATGCGGACTAGTTAATATAACTAAAACTTTTTACCTTTTGGTGAGATATTCGAAGACTGCCTACAAACAATACTTTTTTTATTGGCAAAATCCTGTTCACCACCTTCTTCATCTTTTGAAGGTTTCTCCTAACAGAAAGGACAACATCCAGTCTTTATTGTATATAGTAATGTCCTGTTATTAGTCTAAAGAAGTCTTTAGAACGTATGACTCAAATTTTAATCTATGTGATTTTATCAGGGAGTCATAAACTGTCTGGGATATTGCAGGAATATATATTCACATATGTACTGTAATAAACTACAGCAGTGATCTAGAACTACTAAGGTGCTCCAAGACTCTCCCAGGAATCCCCAAAAAATCAAAATTATTGGTTTTTTTTTTAATCTTGTGTGTCAGGCTTGGCAAAAAATGGCTGCCAAGCCTGACACACAAGATTAAAAAGAACCCAATACACAAGCCTGAGGATAGCAGATGAGATTCTGCTGAAACATCGCTATAATAAAAGCACAAATATTAAGACGTGGGAAAATACCCGAAAAAACCTAAATACCATATATATAAATACCCGCAAAAACATAAGAAAACATATATGTGTGTGTGTTTTTCTTAAGTTTTCGCGGGTACTTACATGTATGGTGTTCAGCTTTGTTTGGGTATTTTCCCACGTCATTATAGTTGTGCTTTTAAAGTTGTAGCAACGTTTTGGCAGAATCTCATCTGCCATCATCAGGCTGATCACCACAATACAGAAGCCTGATGATGGCAGATGAGATTCTGCCGAAACGTTGCTACAACTTTAAAAGCACAACTATAATGACATGGGAAAATACCTGAACAAAGCTGAATACCATACATACATACATACATACATACATACATATCTTCCATCCAAACAAAAGCTCTTTTGGGGACCTCCAAAAATTTTAAAAGTGGGAAAGAGTCCTGAGAGAAAAAAGTTTAAGAAATGCTGAACTAAAGCATCTTCAGTATAATGTAAATTGTGATATTTTATAATACTAGAAAAGTTGAACATTTATTTAAAAGTACCAAGACCATAAACGATACATTTTCACTATGTACACTTATTATTTGTTACATTTATTATAGTTATTATTACCATTAACAAAATAGTGGTTATTATTACCATCATTTTATTAATCAATAAAATAAAACAATTAATCAAATTAGCCTACAAATATACATAATTATGTTACAGTATGAATCTGTAGGCCTTTTCTTTGTATCATCTTCCAAGCAATTTACAAGCTAGCAATTATAAAATTAATTTTGAGAAAAAAATTAGAAGCCATTTTTAAAAACTGGGTATGCAATCTAGGGGCATGTGTAAATGCACTAAGGTGCCTATTGTCCCTGTCATGTTTTACTTTTTTCATTTTGTTTGTTCAGATTTATAATTTTTGTTTGATAAATGAATGAATAAATAAATGAAGTAAAAAATAGTGGGTATCCTAGCTGTAAGTAATTTTGGCTTCATGAAAAATCAGCATCTCGAATTGTATATAGAGCTATTAAGTCCGTTTGGGTATTTTTGCTTCATTTGAATATTATCAAATCTATGCATTAATCTGGATTCTGTGCTCTAAAATCAGTGGTTCCCCAACTTTTCCATCTTGGCAGCCTGCCCTGACACAGGAGGAATAGCGTTATGAGTGGCAGGCACATGCACAGATCAATTTGTGCAAGCCGAGCGCATGTATGTCCTCCCCTCACAGAAATGGAGATCGTGCGTGAGTGAAGGGTCCTTGTGCTCGCATGCAAAGCTCCACTCGTGCTCACGGCTGATAACTGCACTTGTGAATGAAGCTCCGCTCATGCAAGCGGAGAGCCCTTGCATTTGAGAAGTTCCGCTCCCTCTTCATGCGCAAGCACAAGCACCCTCCGCTAGTTCGAATGGGGCTTCGTATGCGCATCTGCCCACCACTTGTGTGAGTGGAGCTTCGCACACATGTTCTTGCCCATTTCTCCCGCAGCCAGGGGAGACCCCTGCTTTACATGATTTGGAATGGATTTTATTTCTCCTGTGCCATTAAAATATCATTAATGAACAAGCTTGTTAAAATACAGTTTTTTTTATTTATGAAGTGCAATTTTATTAAAAACATTTTGCCTTTGCAATAGATTCACTTACTTTCAAATCAGATTGGAAAGTTTTCAGATTTTCATCCTCACTATATTTATATATTGTTGGCTCATATATTGCTTCTTCCAGTTTTTTTGAATCTACATATTCCTTTTCTCCAAGAATCTGATATCCTGCAAAATCAGGATTCCTAATATTCTGTTGTGTACTTATATTTTTTCTGAGTTCTGCTTCTGATCCAGAATTACGACTTTCAGTATCATCGAGAATGGAATCCATGTCATTTTCATGAGAGTTCGTTGAAAAAGTAAACACTGTAGTTTTTTCAACATTCTTCAAAGAAAAAACAGTTTTGCAAAACTGTTTTTGATTCTCATATGACAATTTATTATTATTATTCTCAGTGTCATGGAGTTTTTGTAATTTCTGAAATTGATTTTCATAACTAGATTCTTTTTCGACTGAATGTTCAGGTTGTTCCTTATTTACCTTGTTAGTAATTGTATGGTCACGTGAAGATTCAGGATGACCAGAAATAAAAGCTTCAGGAATATTAGTACCATCTTGCATCTTTTCATTTTGTACATTGCATACTTCATTATTAAACAGATTTGCTTCCCTCTCGTGTTCATTTTCTCTGGAATGTTCTTTCCCTCTTGACTTGTCAACATATTCATCTTCCTTATCTTCTGCCTTCGTCCAATTTTTTTTTATGTATTCTTGCTCCCTTTCTGTACTGAAGTTCTCCTCCATTTCTTTTACTTCCTCCTCTTCCTCCTCCTCGTCCTCCTGGTCGTCCTCCTCTTCCTCGTCCTCGTCCTCCTCCTCATTTTCATTTTTCTTCTCTTCTTTCCGCTTCCCAGGAAATTCTTCCTTGCTGCTTGCAAAAGAACTATCGGAATCATTTAATTCTTGCTTATTGTGGTTAACTTTTTTTGGTATTATTTTTTGAATATTTTCTTTTGATCGACTTTTGTTTTCATTGTCTTCACAAAATCACATGTGGGCATAAAAACACACAATAAATAATAAAATACAATGGATGAATTAAAACTTATTACCTGTTTAGAATGCAATGTTCTCTGGGAACATTTGGAAAAGGAGCCAGGTGAGGAATGGACAGAATGAGGGAAGGTTTTGACTTGGAACAAAGGCTTAGGAAGGGATTCATTGCATTCTTCAAAATCATAATTTGCTTTATTTTGCTGTGAACTGCCTAAGGATTCTGTTCGGATAGTGCAATCTTTCTCATCTACTGCATCAAAATACAAACACACAGAGAGATTAAAATGCAGTTAACGTTTTCTATAGATAAGAAATATAATCGTAACTTATTTTGTTCACGCAACTTACATTTTTTCAAGAAGTCCCATGGAACTTTCATTAGCTGAGCCAAACTTGGTTTTTCTGGTTTCTAAGAATAAAAATTGAAGGACAGAAGTTTTCAGTGTAACAAACATTGCTATACTATCTTTATATCTTGCTCTTCTTTAAAAAAACATAAGACTTATTAATGTATCAACCCACCCCTTTCCTATTTTATTCTGCAAACAATGGATGAACTAAGAAGTCAAACTTAAAACAGTGTGGAACTTCTATTCAAACTTCTATCCATAGTAATACTGCACTGATAATAACATATTATTTTAATTCTAGCCACTTGGCTGGGGAGCTTTAGTTTGGAATACTGCATTAAGCAGGATATTGAATTTATAAATAAATAGTCCAGGAGTGGGATTCGACCGATTCTGACTGGTTCTATAGAACCCCTTGTTAACTTTCTAAGCAGTTCGGTGAACTGGTAGTTAGAAGAAATCTCCTTTTGTTTTTTTTTCCACCCTTATTACATTCTTGACAGTATGCCTAGACTTACTGTCTCTGAAGGTCTTTTTTTTTCTTGATACTGAAAGGGGAAGGGTTGTTTTAACCTTTTTACACTGCTGTTGGGAGGAAATACTCCCCTAGAAATACTTCTTCTTAGCTAGCTAGAAAGATTGACATTCAAACGTGAGTTTATATACCCTTTCTGAGTTTTGGTCTAAAAGTGGTTTTTGGTGAAGGTTAATTCTGTGCTTGGTGACATTTAATCCTGTGTTTATTGATGGGGCAATTTTCCCTATTCAGCTTTGTTTGGAAGGAAAAAGATTAATCTCTATTCCTGAAAAGAAACTGGTTTGAGAAATCTGGCTAGTTCCTGTGTCTTTTTGTTCTGGTAATTGGTTTAACAAGCAAGAGCTACTGTTGTGATTTGCCATACTATCTGTATTGTATTTGGATTTTTTCCTGCCTCATGGTTTCTTTTTCTATCTGGGGAGGGGGTCTTCCTTCACTGCTTTAATGGTATCTGGCACTGCCCTTTTGGGGTGTACTTCCAAGAGGCAGGATGCAAGCTTGGCACTGATTTTTTTTACTGCCTTTCGGGGGGGGGGGGGCATGTGACCTCTCATTAAACCTGGATGATTTCCTTAGGATATCTTGTGAGATGAGTAGCTGGTATCTTTAAGTGGTGCAAATGGTTCTAAGAATTGCTTTTCCTGGGTGTGCTCTTTCTGGAGAGCTTAAACGACCTCTCTGCTAAAGGGTTTCAATTTATGAGCAAGAGTTGGCTGCTGAGTTATCATTGCATTTTAACTATTTTAATTCCTCAAGGTGCTCTGGCACCCTGCCTGATTTGTAACTCTAGCTTGCAGGTATTTTTAATCTAATGATTGCAAGTAAAGAAGCTTTTGTATTTTTGTACAGGTAATCCTTGACTTACAACAGTTCATTTAGTGACCATTCAAAGTTACAATGGCACTGAAAAAAGTGACTTATGACCATTTTTCACACTTATGACCGTTGCAGCATCCCCACTGTCATGAGAGGCCAGGCGAAGAGAAGCGCCCCTTCATGTGATGTTGAGTTGACCATGCCCACTAAGTCACAACCGCCAACTAAGCCACGCACACAGAACAACAATCTGGGTCCTCGTTTCATTGACCTTGGAAAGATGGAAGACTGAGTCAACCTTGAGCCAGTGAGAATTGAACTGCCAAGTGCAACCAAGTGGCCATCAGCATAATTGACCTACAATACTGCATTCTAACCATTGCGCCACCATAGCTCAAGCTGTATGAATTGCATTAAACTTAAGATCTAAATTGAAGTTCATATCCAAACAAGTATTAATTAGTATCATAACATGTTTCTCATTGTTAGAGGTTTTGAGTGTTCACTGTACAAAATCCTACCTTGGGGCTGGAGCCTAGTTCCTCCTCTTCTGAAGAAAGCCAGCTATCATCATCTGTTTTTTCAGAATTGCTTAAACAGAGATACATATATACATATAAATAAGAATCTATCTTTTTCCAGAACTTCCTGAATTTAAATCAAAATTTAAATCGTACCTGATAGAATCTCCAGAAGAGAGGTTATCAAAAACTGCAAAAAATCCAAACACAAAGAAAAATAAAAATGCAATCAAGTGATAAAAAATTATAAAGCATACATACATACATATATATCAAACTGCAGAAGTTTAAATGAAGAAATATATCTTAAAAATAAAAAAATACTTAATAGTGAAAAAAAGTTGGCAAACATTATTTAATTAGATTTTTTGTATTTATTGTTAGCTTTTCCAATTTTTAAACTGGAAGTTATAATTGGTATAAATATTTGCAGTCAATTGCATCTTTGCACAGAAGTTCATGATTTAACACTTTTACTGCTTGTTTTGAGGAATTTCCATTTCAATAGCAATTTTCTATTTGTTAAATAAAAGAATGACATGGTATTCTAAGAGTGAAATATGAAAAAGGGTAACATGCACAAAAAAACCCGTAAGCATTCAGCAGTCTGAGCCCAATTTTTATATTAATAAGCACCCACGCATATGATGTTGATCAGGGGTGTTAAACTCAATTTCATCGAGGGCCCAATCAGCATTGATACGTTTAATGGTTACCGCAATTTTCAGAAGTTAAGACCAGAATAGCATCCAACTATCACAGAAAGAGGTGAATTATTTCCTAAGAAAATGTCACGTAGGCTTAGCTTTTAAATCCTTTCTGTGGGTCAGCAGATTTCAACTGCAATACCAACAGCCAGGTTTATTCTACAATGTCTTTTATCCATATAATTGCAGCAACAGAGCAACTGGTTTCAACAAAACAAAACAAACAAGCAAACAAAATCTCATTTTAATTCCATACATAGACATAATTCAAAACATAGACTGAGCCTTGGTGGTGCAGTGGTTAGAGTGCAGTACTGCAAGCTACTTCTGCTGCAGCCAGCTGAGCTCCTTCAATTTGATAGATCAAATCTCACTAGACTCAAGGTTGACTCACCCTTCCATCCTTCCGAGGTGGGTAAAATGAGGACCCAAATTGTGGGGGCCAATGTGCTGACTGTAAACCGTTTAGAGAGGGCTGTAGCGCACTATAAAACGGTATATAAGTCTAAGTGCTATTGCGCTTGTCCTTCTGGGGGCAGAGCAGGGTGGAGGGGCGTGGCCAGGGAATGTGACCAGCTTGACTTTGCTCACATGAGGGGTGCCTCATAATAATTTTTATCTTTTATGATTGTAAGCCTCCCAGAAATACCTTAAGATGGATGGACAAACAAGCAAACACTATTTAGACAAGCATGATCATATTGCAGCAACTCTAAACATCTGAAAAAGGAAACATATCATCTGTACAATATCTTTCAACACAATGGATATCCACACAACTTCACCAAAAAGTGCTGATTACTCAACTCAATGTAGCACTATCCAAACTGTAAAAAGGATAAATTACATCAAAAACATCTCAAAAAGCACCAACAGACTATTACAATCACGTGGCATCCACATACCATAGAAATTAAAACATCCAAAGTAAACCAAAAGATCCAGCAGCCTTAGAAGAAAAACAGGAGTCATCTATAACAGTGATGGCTAACCTTTTCGGCACCGAGTACCCAAAGTGAGTGCACGCACCTGCAAAATGCAATACGCGCGCATCCCCATGCATGCACGCCGCCCCTGCACATTCATCCCCTATGCATGCCCCCCACCCCCGCATGCGCCCCATCCCCGTGCATGCATGGCAGAGACCCAAAGACCAGCTGGCCTGCGCGTCTGTGCAGTGGAGCTGCGCTGGGGCGAGGGCTTGCATGCCCACAGAGAGAACTCCGCATGCCACCTCTGACACGCATGCCCTAGGTTCGCCATCACGGATCTGTAGCATACAATGTAATGACTGCAACAGACATGACATAGGATAAACAAGCAAAAGACTAGCAGAATGCATCCATGAACACCAACTAGCAGTCAGAAGACACAATGAAAACTCCTTAATTTCACAACACACGGACATACTTAACTATAGTTTTAACTAGAAAACGGTGACCATCTTACACCAAGCCAAGTCCAAAAAATGTTAGAGGATTTCTGGAAGGCTGGTACTGACAAATTGGCCATCGATACACACATAGACATAAATAACATATACATAGTTACATACCATTCAAGAGACAATCAACAAGCCAGAAAGACAACAGAAAGACCAATGCTGCAGCAGCATTCAATAACCAGGTGAGCAGATATTAACACCAAGATTAACTTCAGATCAACAATCAAGAAGTAAACAATATCCCAATCAAGGACTTGCCAAACAAGCTAATAGTAAACAGCCTAAGTAAATAGCCACCAATTCCACTCCCACCAACACTGACAGGGCAAGCCACATATAAATTGAGAGCAAATCCACTCCCCACCAGCACTGATGATGTTACCTAGTTTGGGTAGTGAAACATCTGCAAGAAGACAACCAAGCACAGAGAGCACTAACTCCTCATTTCAACCCCGGGCTACAAATATTGTCCTCTATCACTACCTTTTCTAGAAGGAATAAGAACAAAACAAGAAGGCTATCCGTATTCTAAACTAAATATTTAAATAAATTACTACAGAATTGACCTCTATAGATAGTTACTCCTTTCCTCAAATCCCTTCCTGACTTGTTGAGCAATTCCTGCACTCCTATCTATTTTTCTGTTTAGCACAAAGCCTGTGACAATAAAAATTCAGAACGTAAACATGTATCCGCTTATAAAGCAGTCATTGTAGCAATCACATTAAAAAAGGATAATTTTAATTTTCTGTCCAATGGTATCTTCCCCTTATTCTCTGAAAACTACAATAGATCTCCAAATCCCACCTTATATGGAATATCATTATTATTTGTTTGAATTTTGATTCAAACTGTCATATTAGTTATAGACACTTTTTTAATGCCCAAATTTGTATTTACTGATATTCAGAATTGCCATTTCATAGAAAATGGGAAATTTATGTAAATTCTAGTTATTACAAATATGGAAACCATTCATTTTTTTTGTTTTTAATATTTGCAATAGAGATATGCACAAAACAAAAAGTTTTATTCAGAGTATAGAATAAAGCTGTTCCCCCTGGAACATTCTACAGAAATATTTCAAACTGTTTCCTTCCAATCCACCCAACTCCCAAAATTTTGAGTTTTAAAATGCAAGGAATTTTTTTAAAAAACCCTCGCTCCCTCATTTCTTTTCTTCCTAGAATCAGTAAAAGAGTTCTACTCACCCATTCAATCCCTACAAAAACAGGTCACCAAATATTAAAAACAACAATAATAACCTACCAATTCTAAAAGATAGACTTTACTAGTTGGAATAGCTTATATCCTCTGATGATCAAAAAAATTCTGTCTATCTCAGGTACCTGGGAAGCATACAACAAGGGAATAAAAACACCAAATCCAGTCTAAACTTCAGGCTGACTATGATGAACCACAATAATCCCTAACAACAGAAGTAATAATTAAACTTCTTTTTTTGCAAACTGTCTTAGAAAACTTGGAGCATACTGCTTCAAATATTCAACCGACATAAACAGATTTCAGAATTTCCAACTTAAAAATTCAAAGAAAACTTTATCAATAATTCTCAGCCCATTCTCAGCCTCCCTATAAAAGAAAGCTAATCCACAGACCACACAAGAATATCACTACAGCATTTTCAATTCAAGCCATTTAATTTTCTCTTAGCTAAAACATTAAACACAGCAGCAACTTTCCATACCAAGTAGATAGCAACCTTTTTCTAAATCCAGCCAACTGACTGCTGAGGATAGGCTGACTCAACATCAAACCAAGCTTTCTTGTCTATCCCCATTCTTCAGGATAGATGAGAATATAATTCTTTGTGGAATTCTTTATTGGCCAAGTGTAATTCGACACACAAGGTATTTGCCTTGGTGCAAATGCTCTCAGTTACTGTACATAAAAGAAAAGATACATTCATCACACAATAATAGTCATAGGGTACAATAAGCAATCAAATCATACTAGGAAACAGTCCTAGTAAACAGGAAACAGTCAATATAAATCGTAAGGATACAAGCGACAAAGTTAGTCATACAGTCACAAGTGGGAGGGGATGGGTGATAAGGAGTGATGCGAAGATTAATAGTAATAGTAGTGCAGACTTTGTAAATAGTTGGACAGTGTTGAGGGAATATTTGTTTAGCAGAGTGAGAAGTAGGCTTAGTAGCAACTTCGTCAACAATAAAATGTTTGTTAGGGGAATAGTCTTGAAATGGGCATTTAACTCCTAAGAACAAGTTGAGAAACTGATTATCGGGACATAAGTCTTGAGAAATACCACTGCTCCATCAAGAAATGAAGAAAAAATAAATAGCAGGATGTCAGTACATCAGCTGTCCTAGGTAATATCCTATTGCTCATAAGTCTGACTGGAATGCAAATGTGGCAAATCACCACTATTGGACCAGAATTGTTTATTGACTTCCCCTCCAAAATAGCAAATTTTTCTTTGTTTGACTTGCTTATAGGGTTCCTCAGTATTATTCAAGGAATCTGCAGAACTGTTTTCCTTGATAAAATAGTTATTATTCTTTAAGAAGAGACTGACATCCCTGTTGCCAAGGGAAATCCACGGATTGCTACCTGTTGATAGGTATCCTGGCTATGACCTGTTAGTTGTCCTACGTCAAGACTAGTTTGCAACCAGCAGGTCTATTCAAAACAGATACATTAATGCTGATAATACTTCCCTTAGAAGCATATAAGCTCTTGATACATGTGTGCTTCAATTATAACGTGCAACGCATAATGCTAACTTTACATCATTCTGCCAAAACTTAATCTTCATTAACATCCTCTTCTAACTATTTCCAAAGTCTTTCCCTAGAAAACAGCTTGCTCCATAATTTCCTTGGTATTCATAAGCGTTAGCTTAAATTCCAAACCTGCTTTGGACATGAGCTTCCAAGAGTCAAGGAAATGCACCTGTTTCCTTTGCTATGTCATACACCAGCAACTCTTACCCAATCAGTTGCTTAAATAACAAGCCACTACGGTGTAGCAACATCCATGGAATTTTTGGGACGGCATAAATTCAACCTGCTTCTTATTGAAGCATCTTTGTCACCTCTGTGTTGTGTTGGAAATATCCTGCAAACCTATAGCACAAAATAAATGTTTTTTTTTTTTACAAACAATAGCAGTAATGTCTACTTCCGTTTGGGAAAGGCCAGAATTGTACTAACTGACCAGCCATTCATACTATATAAAACTTTACCTTCTTTATTTTTAGCAGGAGCACCAAGTATAATACCAGTATCTCCATCTTTTTCTGGACTGCTTAATATAGACAGAACTTTTTGACCATCCAATGAGCCCTCTTCTCTATTTTTCTGGTTGGAATATTTAGCAACATACTGCTTAAGGCTAAAAGGAAAAAAAATATTTTATTCAATATTGACATATTTTAATAAAGCAAAATTAATCTCAACACAGAAGGACAATGTTACATAAAAAAGCAATAACTTAGTTGTTTGCCTGCTTTAACACCCTGCTAATACGTGATCTAATCTTAATCCATGTTATGCTTTTTATTTTCATATAGGATAGCTTTGTTAACCAGGTGATAATGAAATGACAAACATTTCAACTTACATGGAATCATCACTAATCATAGCATAATCTTTTGCTGACCATCCACTTTTATCTCTATGGGCAACATTCGATCCATGAAGGAGGAGAACATGTGTCAAGTCACGTTTTTTATTAGAAGCAGCAATCAATAGTGGAATTCTGAAAGACAAGAATGCCTCCCTCAGTTACTACGTATCATCAAACCTTCACTTATACTTTAACATCCTATATTTACTCAGCATTAGTCCATCTTGCAAAAAGACAGGGGAGCTTTCACATTATACAAAGCTCCAATCTATTTACTGATTTGGCGTATGGCATCTCATACACGGACCATATACTAACATTTCACCTAGATTAGTAAACACAATAAAATGTAAATGTTAAATGGATCAGTGTTTAAATACCAATGTCTAGGCCATCTAACCATTGAAGCACAGCATCCTTTATATTAAAATAGATATCAGATACTGGATCCGGTATATGCTTCCAGCTTAGTTATGATGTGATTTACCATCTGACATGGGACCTGCAGTCACACCGAGTAGAAGATAATATGTCCCATTTATAGAGAGAGTCTTGATAGATACCATGTGAGGTGCAAATCCTGTTCAGGATTGTCCACTGCCAATGTGGTAGTTCAAAGCCTTTTTGTGGGGTCATTTATATGACTTCCTATGTCTGTGCATTCAGCGACCCATTTGGCTTTCCACTGGGAATCGAAGTTAAAGTTGTTGGCAGATGTTCCAATGTTTTATATTTAATAAGCAAAATATATCCAAAGCAAACATGTTCTGTGTGTAAGACTTAGGACAATAACTGCCTTTTAAAAGTAACTTTTAACAGAATTAATCTCTTCCTTTCTCAGAGGAATCTATAAAATACATTTTCCAGTAGAAAGACACTGCCATTACAAATGCATTGCTGGATCATTGAATTAATACTAACAGAAAGTTCCTACACATACATAAAAATAGGTGTGTGTGTTGGGGAGGAGAAAGAATATGAAGATTTGTTTATAACAAACAAAATAAACTAAATATAAAAGCTAGCCATGTGCTTTTTTTTTTTTTACTGAAAACAAATTGAAAATGGCATTGAACAGAAACATCAGTATTTTCTTTAAATGTAAACTACTTTAACAAACCCACATTTTTTTCTTTATTTTCAAGGTTTTATCTTTTGATCCCAAAAGCATATAATACAGCTGGAAACAAAACTTTAGGATAAGACTTCAGTGTAATGTTAGAAATGTGAGAAAATGTTATTCTAGCAGACTGATTATCTGTTAGATTCAGGGGCATGAACACTTAAAGACAATCCTAAAACCCTGGAAAGGTTATCAACTAAATGATCCAAACTGTACCTTCCCAATTTATCTGTGGCGTGCACAGATGCTTTTTGTTGAAGAAGAAACTCTACCATCTCTCGATTATTTTCAGCCACAGCAACGATTAACGGTGTGCATCCATCCTGCAAAATAAAAAAAGAAATACATATATGCATAGCTTCTGTTTATCATTAATGAAATGCAATGTCCTGTACCCAAGCCAGACAAAAAGGGCAAGAAGTTTTCTTTCTTTCAAACTGCTTCTAGATGGGTTTCAGTGTGAGTTAAACATCTCTGAAACAATATTTTCTATATTTCTCCTGGTACTTGGCTTTAAAATCTCAGATAATTTCAAACATTTGTGCAATATTCCAGATTTGACTATTATTAACTACAAATGTTATATTGGAAAAAGTGGAGCTGCATGCAGTTTTCTTGGCAATGTTTTTCGGAAGTGGTTGCTATTTGCTTCTTACTAAGGTGGGGAGAGTTAAAATCACCTAGATAGACGGAGGAACTAGAACTCAGTCTCCCAGCTACTAGTCCGATGCTTTTAACCACTATACCAAATGAGGTCTTTGTTTTGTACCATTTAAGATACCAATTGAAGATACTCTCACAGCCCTATAAAAACCAAATACATCTTGTTTGCAGAGGGATAATGGGCAGTTTGTGTATGTTATCCACATTGATGGAAAAGAAGAAAAAAAAACTCCGAAGATATATATTTGGAAGTACATATTTAATTCATGACTAAAACACTCTGACTCATATCTGATAACAAAACATAATAACAAGGTAAATAAGCGGAGATAAATAAACTACATGCTTTAACATACATATATTAAGTTCCTCCTACTTTATTTGACAGTAGGAAGGGTAGCTTATGTGACATTTGAACCTGACATTATGATTAAGTATACCCAAAAGAAACCCCTATGTGAAAGCTAGCAGAAGCTTAAAGGTAAATTACAAATTGTAGTCAACTTGTTCAAGAAAAATAAGGAATGAAGAGTCTCCAGTTCCATTTTATTATGCAACAGATACTCATTATTTATTACACATTAGTCTCCCAGTAAATAATGCAGTGGTGTTTTTTTTCTGTAAAGGATGTTAAAACATTCTTTACAGAATATGTATTGGCTTATACAAAATCAAAACTACTTAAAATATTAAGTAAACTACTGGAATTTTACCTTATTTTGTGCTTCAATGTCAGCTTTCTTTTCAATCAGGTATTTTGCTAGAGATACATTAGAATTACAGGCAGCAAAGTGGAGGGCAGTGTTGTTGTCTATGTCCTTCAGATTAGGATCTGCTCCATGTTCAAGCAGATAAATTGCACAGAATTCTTGCTGGCATTCCACCGCCTAAATATTTAAGAAGCTGTTAGGTCTCCAACTTACTTTCATATACCTAGGTGATACTGTCTATAATTTAAGCAAAACAAAGCTACCACTTTTTCTTGGTCCCTTTTTGATTATAAGCAGTATTAACAATTTATTATACTGATAGTTTTGATTAAAAGAGAAGTTATAGAAATTTGGCTTTATACTACTAGTAAATTTGTACTATTTTAAATGCATACCTTCATTAATGGAGATCTCTTCTCTTTATCACAGATATCTAGTTGGCATTTGTTGTCCACCAAGAAAGTAACAATGTCTGTATATCCATTAGCACAGGCAAAATGCAAAGGTGTTCTAAAAGAAACCATATTATAAAAGAAGGCATATTCAGTCAATAAGTAAAATAAAAGTATAAAAGTAAAGTACACCTTTGTTTTTCTTAAGAACATTTTGATTTTGTATGTTTGAACTGTATTTCAAAACTAGGCTATGAGGCACTTGAAATACCCATGTGCTCTGTATACTCCAATGGTAAAGCTCTATAATATATAAATTGCAGGCTTAGTTAATTAGTTCTTCCTACTTGAAAAAAGTAAATTATACTTTGCAAGAAAGAATAAAGCCTAAAATACAACAGAAGTGTATTTGCTTGATTGCAAATACTAATATTTTGATACAATTCAATTGAAATTAACAATAACATGTATTACAAATTCTAAAATAATCCAGCCACTATTTCCCAGTCACTGATAGATAGAATAACTATAGAAAGGAGGAAAGAGACAATTCCCATTATAGGATGGTTTATTCAAACATTCTGTTAATTAAGGTATGCTTTTAAAACTAACAGAACTGTGCAAAACTTTCTATTCAAACTTACATACTGAGCTGTTTTCAGGACTCTGCATTACCACGTATTATTTATAACCCTCCATATAGCTTTCACTGTGACATTATTTACATAATACAAGTAGCATTATGCAAGTCATCAACTGACAACAGTGCATTTAATAACACTTCAATGGCACTGAAAAAAATTGACTTATGACAGTTTTTACACTTGTAACTGTGGCAACATCCCCGTGATCAGGTGATCAAAATTCAGATACTTGGCAACTGACCCATATTTATGACAGTTAGTCTCCCAGGGTCAGCTGATCAACTTTTGCAACCTTCTGACAAACAAAGTCAGTGGGAGGCCAGATTCACTTAACACCATGTTATTAACAGCAGCAGTGATTCACTTAACTATTGTGGCAAGAAAGATTGTAAAATGGGGCAAAATTCACTTAAGAAATGTTTCACTTACAGCAACAGAAATGTTGACCTCAATTGTGGTCATAAGTCAAGGACTACCTGTACAGGAACCAGCAGCAGAGTTCAACATATAAAAAAGTGATATATGAAAAAAGATACTTGAATAGTATAGTTAATAGGAAGGATGTCATATTAGAGACATACTATAAGAAGGGCATTTGAAGGTGGGTACGCAGTATTAAGCATGTGGTTTTAATTACAGGTAATCTTTGAATTACAACCACAACTGAGCCCAAAATTTATGTTCTAAATGAGACATTTGTTAAATAAGCTTTGCTCCATTTTATGACCTTTCTTGCCACAGTTAAGGGGATAACCTAGTTAAGTTAGTAACACAGTTAAGTGAATCTGGTTTCCACATTGCCTTTAGTTGTCTGGTCTCAAAAGGTGATCTAATGATTTCAGGTCACTTGCAATCATCATAAATATGAATCAGTTGCCAAGTGGCTGAATTTTGATCCCTTGACCATGAGGGGAGGTGCTGCAATGGTTGTGTGAAAAATGGCCCACAAGTCACTTTTTTCCACGGACGTAACTGTGAATGGCCACTAAAACGAAGAGTTGTAAGTCAAGGACTACCCTGTACAGTGTGCCCTAGTTACAGTGTGTCTGGTATAAGTGGGAAAAGAAATGAAATTTACTTCCAGAAGCCTATTCTCATTTTTATGGCTTGCAAAAGGACCGAGCATTTGACAACATTAGAAAGCTTCCAACCACGGGATGGTATTTATTCTTGAAGGGGTTCTTTTCAGGACCCCCATCCGGGTGGCCTCCAGAGGTCATCAAGTCGTGTTCCCAAACAGTGAAAGAAACGCTGGGGGGTGAACCTCAATTGCCCCAGCAACCTCCAGCGCTAAGGCCCTTCCTGCCCAGCTGCTCCCTAGGGCCGTCCACACAGCCCTCCACGTGGCCGTGATTTGGGCCCGAAGCGGGTGGCCCATTGGAATCCAAGGGCGGGAGGAAAGAGGCGAAGCTGGCGTTTGCGTGGGAAGACGAGGGCCCCGAGGCCGGCTCCGTCCCCACCTGCCAGCTTGGTCCTGTTCGTTGAGGTCGTGCTTCTGCAGGAGGTGCCGGAGTTCCCCGAGGTCTCCTTCGGCCGCCGCCCGGTGCAGCTTACTCAGCTCCTTGTTCTGCGAGGCGTAGCCGTCGCCGCCGCTGCCGCTGCAGAGGAGAGCGCCCGGGGCTGAGGCGCAAGCCACGACGCGGCTCCGCAACGGAGACTGCCGCCCGTTCTTCTTCCTCCCCAGCCCCAGGATTTTCTTCACCTTCTTCATCCTCCGGGTCGACGGGGAGGCGGACGGGGAGGAGGACTTCGAGTCACGACGACGGGCGCCGCGGCGTCGGCCGACCCCGAGTCACTTCTCCCGCCCTCACGAACCCGCTGGGGTGCAGCATGCCTGCCTGCCTGCCTCCCTGAACGCGGTCAAGGCCGGCCGCAAACTCCGGCCGGGCGACGGCGGTTGAAAACGGGGCGTCCCATCCCAGAAGCCGCGGGCATCGATTTGACGGCGTCAGAGCGAGGGACGGGCCGGAGGCCAAGGCGGAGTGGCGCGGTAGCCACGGCAACGGCTTCCCCCCCCCTCCACCGCCACCTCTCGGGGCGGTACTGCGCCTGCGTGCTCAAACTTGTTTTCATGGCGGGGCGACCACGTGGCTTACGACGGCGCAGGCGCAGTCTTCCGTCATTTCTGCGTCCCGGAGTTTCGTTTTTCGGGAAGGAGGGTCGGAGAAGCGGTGAAGATTTGGGTTATTATGGCAGCTGTCAAGCCAGCCTGAAAGGGAAGAAAAAGCACCCAGCGGTTGGCGCAGGCCGTACTTCGAGCTTCTTGCATGCTGCTCGGAAAACTTGCTAAGATCAGTGCCAACTGCAATTTTCTCAGAGCCTGATTGTCAGCGGGGAAGAGTTGCAAGCATAGCATTCAATGTCCTATCAATCGCTTTTACTCAAATACTTTTTTAAAAAATTTGATTTGATTTGTCAATTGCTTGCAAGATAATAGCTATAAGTATAAACATAGTTATGAATACGTGGATACTAAAAGAAAAATAAAAAACATAGGGACAGTATAAGTATAAACATAGTTATGAATACATGGATACACATAAGAAAAAAGAAACAATAGGACAGGGACGGTATAAGTATAAACAGTTATGAATACGTGGATACACATAAGAAAAAAACAATAGGACAGGGACAGTATAAGTATAAACAGTTATGAATACGTGGATACATATAAGAAAAATAAACAATAGGACAGGGACAGTATAAGTATGAAAATAGCTATGAATACGTGAATACACATAAGAAAAATAAAAGAAACGATAGGACCGGGACAGTATAAGTATGAACATAGCTATGAATACGTGGATACACCTGTGGGAACTAACATACACCTAAGTTGGTGACTTGCTGGGCGTGGCAGGGGAAGGATACTGTAAAATCTCCAGTCAGCGGTGGTATTTCCTGGTTCTCCAAGCTTCTCAAAATTTCCGCTACAGGTTCTCCAGAACTGGTCAGAACCTATTGAATACCACCTCTGATTTAGATGCTAAAAACATAGGATACATAAAATATTTATAAAGTAAAAAGTAAACACCACATAAGCAAATTCACTATATCAAGATATAAGTAAATCCCCCTAGAATAAAAAAATTGTCCCATTTTACAAATAAACTTTGTATTTTTTTTATGAAACAGTCTGTAATTCATTCAAACAGTTGGTTTTTTTTTACAAAGTTCTTCAATGCTTTACACTCACAGCCCGTGGGCCAATGCGTCATGTGCTGGCCACCTACACCCATGCCCAGTTTAGTGAAGAGGGGGAAAGCCATGATATGTCGTGGTGTCGCCGTGACGACATGAGTTTGACACCCCTGCTTTAAGCAGTGTCTTATAATCCAGAAAAAAAAAAATATTCCAATTGTTCAATTTATTTTGCAAATCTGTAATAATTTTTTCATGAGATTATTTCTTTTCTTAATATCTTAGTTTTGGTTTCATTGGACACAATAATTGTTTTCAATATTTTGATATCATAAATTAAGAATTCAAATTTTCATAGTTTTAACAGGTACAGGTAATCCTCAACTTATAGCCATTTGCTTAGTGACTGTTTTTCACACTTATGACCATGTGGTCATGTGATGAAAATTCAGATGCTTGGCAACTGGATTATAATTATGACAGTTGCAGTGTCCCAGGCTCACATAATCACCTTTTGCAACCTTTGAAGAGCAAAATCCATGGGGAAGCCGGATTCACTTTAACAACCGTGTTACTAACTTCACCATTGAAGTGATTCACTTAACAACTGTGACAAGGAAGGCTGTAAAATGGGACAAAACTTATTAATTCAGAGCTTCTCTTTGATTGATACAGCTGAGATTAATATGACTCTCTAGTTTGGCTGACTCTGAAGGGATACCAATATTATCTGGCTTCTCTCTTGGGTTTTCAGTAGAGTCCATAAGCAGATCCAGCTTTTTCCTTCTTATTATTGAACTGTGGTGAATATTGAGTAGAATGACTAGTCAGTTATAATGTTAAGCTAGTCAGATATTTTTATGTCATTTGAAGGGTATTCGTTATTATAGATAACTTGTATTCTGCAGTTTGATAAAAATCCTGCTTTTCTCACATATGGGTTCCAGGTTACAATCAGACTCAACAGCTGCTGATTCTGGGCTACTTGCCAGCATTGTGAAAGGGTATTTTAGAGGTCAGCTGTGGACAGATTATTTGGATCAAGATAGGTGTGTGATAACAAGTTTTACCTTTATCACTGCTAGGTGAGAGGAGCAGAAAAGAAAAAAAAAAGGGCTTGGCCATTGAACGGATTTTGTCTTACACCTTTAGATATATTCTAATTAAGTTGAGCAAGGTTTATCATCTACAAGCAATTCAAAATAAACCAGTACAATAATTTCATATAATGTAGAACTATCAAATGATTAATTATACTCCTGACATTATACTAGTACTTCTTGAGAAATGTTTATTTATTTATTTGATTTATCAATCACTTACAAGATAATAGCTATAAGAATAAACATGAATACAGGAAATAGGTACGAATAAATGGGGACAATAGGACAGGGACGGTAGGCACGATGAGGCACTTATGCACACCCCTTACAGGCCTCTTAGGAATGGGCTGACGCCAAGAGTGGATAGTTTAAGAGTAAAGGAGAGCGGGGTTTGAGGATGTAACAATACAGTCAGGTAGTGCATTCCAGGCATTGATCACTCTGTTACTGAAGTCATACTTTCTGCAATCAAGTTTGGAGCAGTTTTATGTTCTCATGTTTTATTTGTTACTCTTAAGATGAATTCATGTACAAATGTACGGTATTAAATTGAATTAGTTGAATAAATTATATCCAACATGTAGTTATCACCAATTTTTCTCAACTACTCCAGAAGTGAAATTCAAAAAAAAGAAAGAAAGAAAGAACAAGATTTTGTCATTCAGCTTAACAAGAGCTATATTTCAGTGAGTACTTTTTATTAATTATAATTAGAAAAAAAAATTTCTTGGTCTGGTTTAAAGAAATTCTAAGTAAGAGGTAAACAGCCATTTGGGGGGGGGGGTCGGGGGCATAGAGCTATGTTCAACCTTGCCAAGGATTGTCAGGGACAATTGTTTCCTTTTCTGGGCTGGCCTTGTGACTTGGGATGCACATTAGGGGGACCTGACTACTCTTTATGTGAACATCTTCCTGTGTCAGAGAATTCAAATGTGCCCTTGAGCCAAGGGTTAGGGAAGCTGAATGAGCTTAAAGTTAAATCAAGTAAAATTTCTACTCTGGAAAGAGTTATTGGCTGACTGCTATTATTTTTCCAGCGATGTAGAAATAAAGTGATTAATCTATTAGGATCAGCAAAACCTAATAGGTTAATAACTTTATTTCATTTAATACAGCAAGAAAAGAAAAGAAACAAAACCTAAAAGTACAAAAAAGAAGAAAAAGTGACACAGTTCTTAAAAATGCCTGGACTTTCTGGAAACTGAAGTCACATCTGAAGGGTACAGAACAGTGGCAGGATTCAATTTTTTTTTTACTACCAGTTCTGTGGGCATGGCATTGTGGTCCATGCTGTGTTTATTGGTCTTGGAGTTAAACACGGACCAAGACTCCCAACCAATCAGGATGTAGAAAAAGCCATTTTAACACAGCAGTAGGCTAGCACCAAATTTAAAACAGAAACAGCTGTGAAAGCCTGACTCACAGACAAACACAATACACAAGCCTGATGATGGCAGATGAGAGTCTGCCGAAACGTCACTACAACTTTAAAAGCACAACTATAATGACATGGAAAAATACCCAAACAAAGCTGAATACCATACATATAAACACCCACGAAAACTTAAGAGGATATATTATATATATAATTTATTTTCTTAAGTTTTCGCGGGTACTGTATGGTATTCAGCTTTGTTCGGGTATTTTCCCACATCATTATAGTTGTGCTTTTAAAGTTGTAGCAATGTTTCGGCAGAATCTCATCTGCCATCATCAGGTTTCTGCATTGTGTTTCGCTGAAAGCACCAGCCTGAAGATGGCGAGTGGGACTTCGTCGAAACGTTGCCAGGATGCTCTCAATCTTAAAATGATACTTTTTAATGCCTTGGACAAAATATTAAAACTGACCAAATCTTGTAAAGATTTTTTTTTCAGTAAATAGAAAAAAATCTAACAAAAATTGGGATGGTGGATGGCATGTACAGAGCTTCGTTTATATTAAAATCACTAACTAAAAAGGGAACGATCTGTAGATTTTTTAAAACTAATGTACAACTTTATTGTGCCAGCTAATACTAATGTGGCACTACTCTATGACTCACTTCAAATGAAAAATCATTTTCCATTTGGTTTTGGAATATGTAAAATCCAGATATTGGGGACTAGATTGGAGTAGAAAGTGTCTTCCCAAAACATGCTCTTTTTTATCACAAAATGTACATATTTTGAAATCCTGCACTTAAAAATTACAGTGGAGACAGAAAACATGAAAGGCACGTTCTTGAAAGTACTTGATTTTGATGAAGCAATTTTATTAGCTACCTCTGTACCTGGAATATGACATTAGTGAGAGATAGCTTTGCTTTGAAAAAAATATTGCTATATAATTCTGACATCTAGTGGACAAAATAGTGTCATACATTTTCAGATGTACAGTATTTGTTTTCTGCAGTATCATAAATTACCAATATTTTAAAAATTTAAAAACATTTAAAATAGTTTTTTTGATTGGCCTTTTCAGTAGAAAGGAAATTCATTTTTACTTGCCTTCATATATAAGTAATCAGTAATTAGCATAATACACTTTCTCCAGTGGTGGGATTCAAATTTTTTTACTACCGGTTCTGTGGAGGTAGCTTGGTGGGCGTGGCAGGGGAAGGATACTGTAAAATCTCCAGTCAGAGGTGGGATTTTCAGGTTGTCCAAACTACTCAAAATTTCTGCTACCGGTTCTCCAGAACTGGTCAGAACCTGCTGAATACCACCTCTACTTTCTCGATTTGGCTTCATTACTTCATTAATTCAGTTAACTGTGTTCATTT